CACGATTGTTGTAAGGCCTTTGTGTCAGAACCTGCCCACCCAGCCTCGGCTTTTGCAGGGATCAGTTTTAGGGTCATGAAATACTGCCAGAAGCCAATCTATCTGCTTGCCAGCTAGCTCGGGCGCCGCCCGGAGTCGGGTAGTCGCCGGTGAAGTACCAATCTCCGCTGTGGTCTGGCAGCGCCTTGTGCAAGTCCTGGACGGGCGCAGGGGGAGCCCCCGGACAACTTTAGACTTCTTGGGTGGAAAAATCCAGCCCCACGCGGGAAGGCTACATAAAAGCGAGGGTGTCAGGTTACTCTTTCAATGAAGGATGCCTTGGCTAGAGTCAATCTAGTTTTCCGTTTGGCTGGCTGGCTCGAGTAGGAACAACTGAGCAACGGCTTTCCCATCTTGAATGCGTACCCTCAAGAACCGTCTTACCAGTAGCTGAGGTGGTTTAAAAAGGGTTTAAAGTGAACCTCCTCTTTGATTGCCAAGCAATTCCTGGCGCTCTCTTGCAGAGCTTGCAGTGATGCAAACCACCCACTCCCGAAAGTCTCTGTTTTGCAGGCTTCCTACAACCCTCAAGACACCCATTGTACAACTTCGATACCGATGTGGAAACGCCAGAAAAGCATCACTCCAAATCAGTGGGTGAACTGCATACTCTTGCAACCTGTTGTTCCAAATAGCGGCAGCGAGCATAGTTGATACCTCGTCAGTGTCGTGAGACCATGGCCAATTCGGAAAAACAAACAACTGGGCAAACTTAGGACCAGTATTTAAACGATGACTGAGCGGAAACCTTATAAAGACCAAACACGGCTCAGGTAAGAAGTTTGGAAAAGCAACTGATGTTGAAGGAAACTGCTGAAGGAAACTCCTCGTCGACAAGCCAGCTTGAGGATCAAATAAAAGGAACGAATATGTGGACATCATTTGGATAAAGCATGAAGTACTTTGACTGGGACACATCCATGAAGGAGCGCATCTCTCGCACTGGATGCAGGATGAGCAAGAATGTACTGAAAGTAACTATATACCGTGTCTTGATGAAGGATCTGATGAGGGACAGCTCATTTTTCATGCCCCATATACTGGAATGACTCGCTGCTCCAGGTGAGCTACTGCTGCTTTCCGTGATCAACTCCAGGTCAAAGGCGGACCCCGGACCTTTCTCTTGCCCGCAACTCCCCCCCGCTCCCTATCTATTCGCGGCAGTCGCTCCAAGCGGTCCTCAACGCTCTGGTACAACACCTGGACCTCCGCTTTGCAGTCCACAGGCTTCACGTCCTTCGCGATGCGCAGCGAGATCTCCTCAGGGAACGAAAGGACTCGAGAAGCCGAGCAAGGCTGCAGGGAACGGCTCATGTCAACCATCGGCCTAAAGAACAACAAACATCATTTGCAATGCAACCACCGCATGCTACGGGTGAGACTCTCAAAGCCTGCCCGCCTCAGGGGTGAAGGGCTCGTAAATCCTCTGAACATGGTTCACCATGCGCCCGGCTTGCAAGGGCGTCTTGAGCTCTTCGCGACACGACTTGTAGACCTCATCCACGATGTGCTCCATGCCCCGCTCCTTTGGATCGTTGCAGCCCAAGCTCAAGCTTTCCAGATTGTTGCACCAGCATTCCGACCATACATTGATAAATAAGCTAGTCCCATTACACTAAGGGCAAGCAAAAAGGGAAACATGGGTGAATCAAATGGGCGTAAACCCATGCTTTTTGACTTACCAAACAGACAAGGGGCTACCCCATTGTTGCCGGCAGTGAACATGGCCAGCGAAAGGAATTCACATGCTTTATAGACTTTGCCAGAAGTACGGCCGGACACCCACCAACACTTGTCCACTGCGGGATTCTCACAGATCCTACTGGTTTTGCCATATTCCCACAAAGTGTGGGGGCAGTTTGGCTAGAGGAAGCCATGCCTTTATGGCATAATTACCCCTCTGCAAGCCAGGGGAAAGTCAAACATGGCCTTGGTGTGCCCTCCTCGTTCTCTCTCTCTCTCTCTCTCTCTCTCTCGCTCTCACCCCCTCTCCCTCCGCTTGTAGGATGTTGTTTCACCTGGAGATTGAGAGGGAATGCCAAAAACAGTCCTCCAAAGGGCTCCTTGGCTCCTTGATACGTGTCATTCGTTTGTGTGTGTGTGTGTGTTCAAAGTGGTGCGGGAGAGTCCGGGAGCGTCACCTGCCCTACTCTCGTAAAGTTCTCAGAAGCCCCCGCCAAACAACCAAGTATCTCTGAAAGATTCTTGTTTGGGGGATCGTTCCTTTGTTTAAAAAGGATCCCCCCAAAACACAAAAGTATATCTCACAAATTCTTGTTTGGGGGGTTCGCCTGCTTCAACATAACCGGCGACTTGACTTGCAGTCCGTCGAGTTCGCCCGGGTCCTTCAAGAGTCCGATGGCCGCCTTGAACGCCGCCAGGTCCCCGAGCTTGGCCATGTCGATGCCGTAGACGTCGGGGAAGCGGATCTGGGGGCAGCTGGACACCACCTGGAGCCCAAGCCCAAGCCCAGTCTGGGGACTCTGGATTTCCCCGGGCAACCACAAGAAAGCACCTGTCATGTTTGGAAACCCTGATTGAAATGATTGAACCAGATGCTCCCTGTTTGGACACGGAATACTTTTCAATGTTGCATCCAGCATTCATGACCGCAAGACTAGTTCAAACATAAACTTTGCCAAGACCCGTCTGCCGGTGTGCACTCGCCATGGGCAGAAGTTACCAAAACATCCAAACATCTGCCATTGCCGGAGGAGCTGCGACGATCTGGGTGGGGCCCATCTTGTCCAAGGTCCGCAAAATGGCGTTCTTGAGGGTGTTCCCTCGGACAATGGAGTCGTCCAGTGCCACAATGGCATCCTGCAAAGCAAGTTGGACATAAGGCCTGTATAAGACCATGGTCAACCACCGCTTGAAATTCGTCAAATGATGGCCAAGGAGCTTGGAGAAGGGGGCAGGCTTGATCATCCAAAGCCATAGGCCACTGTCTTTTAACCCATAGCACTTAACACGCTTCTCCCTGCACCAAAGCAAACATGCCCCATATACCTCTGCCAAAGACCAGCAAATCTGTGGTTGCAACCCTCAAATCCAGTTCTGCAAATGTGTGACCTGTGGTTTAAACATTGGAAGGCTTGCTGTGAAAAGATGGGGATGCCACGGAATGCCAGCCACAGATTTCAAAGTCATACGCGATCGAAGCAAAGGCGTCCTGGCCGCGCCGCACCGTGCCATAGTGCACATCGTAAGCATGCATGGTGAGGTGCTCTCGCGAGGAATCTTCTTGGATGAAGGTTCGGATCTTGGCATCCTGCACGCGCAGAAAATTAGCATGGCTCGCCAAAAAACAAACTTCACTTGCCCGTGGCCCGGCCTTGTGAACAACCTTCTCTGTGCGGACCTTGGCACTTAGAAGCTCCTGCAAGCGAGAATGGAGCCTGCAGCCCGAACCCTCATGCTAAACAAACGCCCGACTCAAACGCCATCCAACGATCTGACAAAAGGTACGCCCGCCGAACAGCAAGTCCACCGCAGAAGAATCAGCACGGCCCAACAGTTGCTTGTTGAAAGCCAACAACTTGGTTTGGACAAATGAAACAACTGAGGCTCCCTCCAGCATTTAGCCCAGCCAGGCAAATAATGCAAGGAACAAACACGTGCCCCATGTCCTGCAGCTTCCGGTCGTCCAGTTTCAGTGCGTCCCCATTGGTCTTCAGGCTGGCGAAGATCTCTGCCTTCCATTTCAAGCAAGGAGTTTCAAGTAAAAGGCCCGGATGTTCCAAATGGCCTAGGGGCATGTAGGAGTTTTCTGTTTGGCGTGCCCTGTTACGTCCATGGCTGGCTTCAAGTCATGGGGGCTGGGTGGAGAGAGGGGAAGAAGGAGGGGAGCCCTTAAGCCCTTGCTAAGCCCTTCATGAGGCCTGGGGCTTAAGCATTAAGCCAACAAAAAAACATAACTTTCTCCATTTTCGGGCCGGGAACGGCCCGAAGAGCCCTCGAACCCTCTGCCTTCTGCGCGTCCAGGTGGTCCTGGGCCTGCTTGGCGAGGCCAAGGAAGGCCAGCTCCGAGGTGTTGGGGATGAAGGACAGCACCGTGTTGGCCAAGGACAACTTCTGGGTCTCCAGCAGCTTCATCAAGGGCTTCAGCAGCAAACGCCCCAGCTCCTGGAGGGGAAAAGAAAAAAAACACGGGCCGCTTAAAAAAAAAAAACACAGAGAGTCCGGGAAAAAACATGAGGAGGGCACAAAGGCAGGCTGGCCGGAGAAATCAGGGAGCCATGGGCACATAGATGCACACGGATTTGGTACATTCTCTGGCTAGTAGCAGTCTGGGAACATGCCCCCCGTCTCGCTCACATCCTTTGACACTAGCTGGGGCGTTGCTCGACTAGCAGATCAGCTGTTTGGACAAGCACAATTGGATCCCAAACAAAACAAAACAAGGCATGTGACTATGGCCTATCCATGCCTATCCTAGGGGGCAGAAAAAGAAAGGCTCTGCGTTGCTGTGCCACTGCCGCGCCTCGCGCTCCCGGTAGACCCCCGCATCATTGCCCCGAGAGAAGTAGATCCGTTCGAACGAGCACTGCTTCAGCGGCAGGGGCACCAGAATCTGCTCCAAAGCCCAAGCGCCACTCCTGCGCTAAAACAAAATTGCCAAAGCCCATGATTGACGCTGACTTCTTCAATACCGGTGACGCTCCCCCCCCCCAGTTCTCCATCTTTCCCCCTCTCTCTCTGGCACCCTCGCCCCAGTTGGGAGGGGCAACACTGTTTGCGAACTCGAACTCGAACTCGGAAATTTCCGGGTTCCACTGCCCAAGCGTGAGGTCATCCCACTGCCCAAAAAATATAAGGCTTGCCATGCGAAGAGCCATTGCTTTCGTTTGCAATTGATATCCTTTGCGATGGTATCTGCAAGCCTGATAGCTCCAACATCGGAAGCTTTGGACTCTATGGGGTCTACATCATAAAGCCGAACGCGGGCCTTGAACAATGTGAGTGCTACGTCTTGTTTAGGCAGTTGCTGGAAGTCTTTGCCTGAAAGGCGGCAAATGCTGGCAAATGCTGGATATTCCAGTGGACAACACTGGAACCTGAATCAAACCCGGTGTGGAATTCTCAGGAGGACTCTTTGTAATGACCAGCGTCATGAACAAGCAGGCTCAACAAGCGGCTCCTCTTGATGCAAAGTGCTTGCCCAGGTGGCAGGGGCTTCACCATCTCCTCATTCACATTGAAGATCGTCTGGATTAGGGGGGCCTCGCTGCAAACTGCGATGAATTCATCATCGGCATAATAGAATGCTGGGCGGATACCGCTCGGATCTCGCATCACGAAGGAGTCACCATGTCCCAGCAGGCCTGCGACAAGCATTTGACGGCACCCTCCCCCGATCCTATCCCGACTGAACCTGGTGGATCCCAGAAAGAAACAAAGGCCCGTTTGTTGTCAGTTGAACCAAAGGTGTCAATATCAACACTACGGGTCACTTAGGAAAACTCGAGAACCCCGTGCTGAACAATGGCAGCTGCTTGCATTGCACCCAGCCTGCAATGCAGTATCCGCCGTCCCAAAGGCTGGAGGCCCTTCGCAGGATCCTGGCGATGTTAATGTTCTCCGCGATGAGGCTGAAGCATGTCTGAGGGCTATGCCCAGCTGCGGAGTACTTAACGTAGAGGTCGTTGTTCTCCTTGTCCACAAAGTGCCCGATTTTCTCCAAAAGCATGACCGTGTCGGAGAGCTCCCGGGGATGCTGACCAAGCTGAACCAGGCTGCCAAAGAGGTCCTCGTTGTTGGTGATGTTGAAGTTGCCCGCCAGCATCAGGTTCCGCGTCATCCAATTACTCTCACGAATCACGGGGTGGCATCGATCGATGCTGTTCTCACTGTCTGTGCCATAGCGCACGTGGGCCAGGTATGCCTCCCCACAGAAGGGGATGTTATCCTTTACCCATCGCGGGTCCACCTGGCAGTGCTTCAATGAATAGCTAAGTTGCGCTATTGGACAACGAAAAAAAGGTCTCGTGACAGGTCCCCGCCTGCTCCTTGCCCTCAGGCCCGGTTGGCAGCCGAGCATCCTTAGGGGCCTTTTGCAGCATCGCGGTTGCATGCTTCTCCACCCGGCCGAAGAGGTCCCCGATGGGATCTGCCGCGATGGACTTCTCGCAGTGCATGTACCTGGTGCCCGGCGGCATGTCCAACTTCACGTTGGCCACGCCTGCGCCATCCTGGCCACGGTTGCGCTGCTTCTCCATGAGCAAGTGCATGCGGTTCAGGCCGAAGAAGTGGGTGCCATACTTCTCCAAGTAGTACTCAGGAGGTTTCAAAAGTCGGAGCAGGGCGAAGCCACACTCGTGCCCGATCTCCTCTGCCATGGCAATGGGGTAAGTCGAAATGCTTTCCTCACTATGGAACTCAAAGACTTTGAGCCGCCAGAAGGAGGATCATGATGACGTAGGAAAGAATCACGTATCGCCAAGTGTCTGGCATAGCACAGTTTCAGATTATCCCTCTCTCTCTCTCGCTCGCTCGCTTTCTCCCCCCGCGCGTTGCCTTCCCAAAAGCAATCTATGGGGGCCAAAAGCAAAGCAACCAGCAAAGCAGCAAAACTCTGCGCGCTCAACCGGCCCGCAGCTACGTGGCCAACCTGCAAACCGCAGCGATGCGTCCTGCTCGTCCTTTGCACCATCTCCGTCTGCCACTTCCGGGTCAATCCCGAGGCCCTCGTGCTTGGCCGAGTTCGCGGCACGGTTCAGCTCCTCCTTGGGGCCCAGGCACTTGGAGTCTGAGGCTCTGATGCATGGGGCAGGGAAACAGAAGGGCTTCAGGATTCTTCGTTGGGATGGGAGCTTTCCCATCTGAACGGGGAGGTCGCCCAAAAACGCGCCCAAGGAAACCAAGAAGGGCCTCCCTCTGAGCCTCTCCGTCGAATAGGACATCCAGTACATCAGCCACACCCCACACCCCAAGTATGCCAAAGGCCCTAAGGCTGTCTCCCCGAACCATGTCGGCAAAACTTGTTCAGGCAGGTTTGCCTTTTGCCACCTCCCGCGGGGAAAAACAAACACATCAGCATCTTTTCGCCGGGAGCTAACCCCATGTTCGAGTAGAACCCGCCATGCCGACAAGGAGAACCCGCCATGCCGACAAGGGTCCACTGCCGAAAGCATTTCACCGTGTACTTCCATTGGGTCAACACTCCAATCTGCCACGCAAACCGGACATCTTTGTTTGTCTTTGAGCTTTTGACATAGGTGGCCTTTTTGTAAGAGAAACGGGAAATAGATGGCACTGGTGTAGTGTGGGGTGTTTTTCAATGAACCGCGTAAGGCAACGACGAACGGGTAAACAAGCCAAAATTGACACGGGCTCTCGCCACGTGCTCACACAAGACTGCTAGACGTGGCTGGTTGGGACATCCTTCAACCGGGTCAATCCGTGAGCCTATGTTTCGAGATTGCCTCTCAGCATCTTGCAGCCGGTGCGCTTCTTGCGGGCTCTGCGGGGCTCCTTTTGCCTCATCCTTCCTTTTGCTCGGTGGCTTTACCTGGCTTTTGAGCTGCTTGGCCCGTACACTTCTTTTTTTAACTTGGAGGTCAGGCTGATTCACACAGGTGTTTGGTTTCGGCGTTGGCCTGGGCAGCTTCAATTGCAGCGCTGCCCGCTTCCAGCACACGCAGCGCGACCCCGACAATGAAAAAGAGCCCTGTTTTCAACCATACACTGAGCGTCGTCAGTCGCAACCAGAGCAAGCGGCCTAAGCTGGCCCAGGCGCGGGTTTGAGCTGAGCCCCCCAACTGCTTTACGCGGACCGAATCCAACCTCTTAACGCAATGACCACGTACACTGCTACAAGCGAACCGCAACAATTTGTTGTGGTTCTTTTATGGCCATGGAGATGGCAAGAGAGTAAAGCGAATACCTTGGTCGAAGCGTACACGAACTGCGACGGCAGTCGAACTACATCTGGCCGCAGGTTGTTGCAGCTGAGGCAAGCACGGGCTCGGCCAGCTCGGAGGAAACCACGGGGTGCTCTCATCGAAATGTGCATCGCCAGGCACAACAGCGAACCGAAACAATTTGTTGTGGTTCTGCTAACGTTACGGGCCGCGCAGCGACGAGGCAAGGCGGGCAAGAACCGCTGCGGTTCGGGGATCTCTGGCTTGCAAGTTCCCCTTGCGCACCCCGTATCATGGCGCAGCGACCGCAAGTAGGCAACCTGCAATGTTTCTGCAAGCCAGTGTGGATGCCGGGGCCGGGACGGGACCCAGATCCGGGACCTGGATCGGCGACCTGGGACGGGACCTTCATCCGGGACCCGGATCCGGGACCCGGATCCGGGACCCGGATCCGGGACCCGGGTCCGGATTTGAGCCACCCAGAATGAATCCGGGACGCGGCCCGGGACGGGAAAGATCAGGGACCCGGATCGGGCCACCCGGAATGATTCCGGGACCCGGCCCGGGCGGGACCCAGAACCCGGACCTGGATTTGGGGACCCGGATTCGGGACCACCCGGCGACTCGGAATGAACCCGGGACGGGACCCGAATCTGAACCGCTTTAGAAGCAAAAAGCAGCGGAGGCAGCTACAGCGGGCAATTGTGACTACAAACCCTTATGCTACCGTACCATGCTTCCATTAAACTCAAGGCAGCCTTCAAAAAGCAGTGCCCTGTATTAGTATGAAAGCGCAGACTAAAAAAGACACGGGGCTTTTGAGTCATGTCTCCAAGCGTAAAAGCTCTTCATTCTCGAGGAGGTGGTTTTTCTTGGCGTACAACATGAGCATGGAGAGGTGCTCGAAGTTGGTCCTGCGTGGAAGCTTCTCAAACTTTCAGTTCCACAAAGTTGGAAAACGCGGCCCGCTGAACAGGCGTTGGGACCGGAGCTCAGTTGGCCAAACAACTGAACTAAGCAAAGGACAAGGGTCGCAGCGTCATACCTAATTGGCTCACACTGCTGGCTGATAATATCACGTGCAAGCGGCTAGCTATTGCCCATAACCCATGTTTCCATACTGTACCATCTCATGGCATCCGATGCAATTTCAACATAGGCCCTGGCTGTTGATTGCAAACAAACAAATGCGGCGGTTCTGCAAAGGACAGGCACAACTATTGCCCAAGGCCGCTCTCTTGCGCCTCGCCTGAATTTCATGTTCAGGGCATAAAGCTCGGCAATCTGCTGCTTCACCAGATCCGCTCGTTTCTGCAGATCATCCAGCGGAAGCTGCCCGGCCATGGTGAGAGTCATGCGGCTCTCTGATTGAAGGTTTCTTTGAGGTGGTTTTGGAAAGCCAAGCCGAAATCTACGCACCTTCTTCGCTTCACTTGTCAATTGTCAACGTGGTCTGTCGTGGGATTGTATGACTTCTGAACCTCGAAATGAGTGCCAAAGGGAAAGCTTTTGTCATGGCTGCCAGGGGCTGATGTAAGACCTAAGTCTAAAACCAATGTTAGTTTACAGCTGACCTGTGCGTGCTTCACTTCCTAGCGGAGCTTTGGACATTTGTGCTCTGGCCCTCCTGCTGCAGGTCAGGTGTGTTTGTGTTGAGCTTGGCCGAGTGAATGTTAAGTGGAACTGCCTTGATCCCAAGAGCGACAAGCCGTTGCCGGGCTATCAGTCTTCCATCTGGGCCCAGTTGGACCCCTGCCACAATTGCCAGGGGCGAAGGCCTTTATAAGGTGCTTGGTACAGTTCAAGGCTGACGATCTGGATCCCCGTCAAGTTCAATTGTGGCGGCAACAAATCTGACATAATACGTCAATGCGTCAACTGTCAAGCTGCTAAAGCATCGCAGCTTAGGCTAGGGCACCAGTCTGCCATTGCAACCTTCAACAGCCTCTCCCGCCCGGCTTGCAGCATGGCTGCTCAGCTTTCCCCAAAAGGTACTCCACCACATCTTTGCGGCCCTCCTGCGGCAGTGCCACCATTGGCTCCGGCGTGTGTCAAATGTGAGCAGTTTCATGAATCAGGATTGGCTCCCAAGAACTTGGGCATGGATAAGACTCTTGTCGCCTCACCCTTGCAACTCGGGCTTTTTCTGTCGTTTGAGTGCCATGAATAGCTTCAAGTTCCAGTGACGAGGTACCTACAAGTGACTCCTGCAGGGCATGAAAATGACCACACGCTCCCAACACACGTCCCACCTCCATGCCTGCCGATGGCCAACCGTGGCACCAGGCGTGCGGAGATTAGGCATCTATGGGCAACCGTTGCTTGAAGTTCAGGATGCCCACCCATAGTTGCAACACGTTGCGACTCTGCGTGCAGGATATTGCATCCCTGTTGGCAGTCATTCTGAATAGGAGTTGGGGTGCACAATGCCAACTAAGTAATGAGCAGCCATCACCGCAAGCACACCAAGTTGGGCTTGGACAGTAGCACATCCGAGGCGATGTTCCCGGAGCTTGACTATGTTCGCAGTCCGCCTAAACTTCAATCTTTATCCGGTCATCCGGTGCATCCCTTGCCGCGTCAGGCAACGCGCCTTTGCCGCCAGCAGCAATGGAGTGTTGCCTGAACGGCGGCAAGCCATTCCAGCAAGCAATGCTGATCCGCTTGCCATCGAAGCATGACTTGTGCGACCTTGATGAAGTTGTTTGCCTTATGTTTGCCTTCAAATGGGGAAGGCCCAAAATGAGCTTGCATTTCCCCCTGTAGAAAACATTGAAAAGGAACCCTCAAAGCAAAACACACCCAAATCCAGACTCGCCCAAAGCCTTGGATAAGTCCTATCGCTACATAGCACTGTATGTCAGTGTATCACAAACTCTACATCAGCACTGCTGGAGCACAATGGCTCTGCGGCAAGTCAGAGAGGGATGGTCTCTTTATCGCAGCTGCTTGAATACAATGACTGGCCTTCTGCGTCAGCGGCTTCCACACAGGACGCCTGGCAAGCCATTTCTGTCTCCATGCGGCATCAAGATACCTGTTCGGAAGACGCCAGTCGTCCCAACCCACAGTCAAACATGCATCGGCTTGCTGGACAAGGGGGATGAAAGGCCACTTGCCAAACCCTAGGACGTGATGTGGAAAAAGCATGTGATTTGGGCTTCGAATCCCGCCATGGGATTCCAAATCTCAAATCCCAGCCCAGATCCCATTTCGGGATTCGCCCAAGCCAGCCGGATCGCCACCCCTGCTTCGCCGGGCTACGGCGTTTACGGGATGAGCAAACACCAATGGAACACCATTGATCATTGTTGATGCTTTGAGCGCATCGCTCCCAGGCCCAGTGCAGAGCTCAGAAGCAGGAAAACCATTGCGTCTCAAAGGCCGGCCTGATGGCTACCAGCACTCAGCCGCGCCCAATTTGTTTGCTGTACGTCATAGCCGTGTCTGAAAAAATGTGGTTTGTCCTTACTTTCTTGGGGGGCTCCCTAGGCTCAGCTTGATACGCCACTGACTTGTTCAAGCCCCTTCGTCATTGCTTGGCATGTCACTTTCACCCGGCGCCTTCCCTTCAATGAGGCACTTCACCACCTCCAAATAGCCCTCCTCCGCTGCCCTTGTTTTGGGCAAAGCTTGGGTTCTTCGTCGGGAGTATTCATCGCCACTTCACTCACGAACGTGCATTATACATGTGAAGGACAGGTTTATAACATTGTAGATATCCTCAGCACGGGCGGTGGTGGTGCACTTGCGGCGGAAAAAGCTGTGCACCCATGAAGCCACATCTGGCTGCGTAGCGCAGTCTGCTATGAGCTGAGGGACCGACAAGTGCAACGGGGTCGACCTCGCCCCGTGTCTCAAAGAAGCTGACAATCAATGACCCGTTCCGCGAGCGTCGAAGATTTGGGCAGCTCAAACAGGCGCCGGAAATCTCACTGCTTAGCACCGCACCCCTCTTCATCTGGAAGATCCGGGCTGTGGTCCTTGCTAAGCAACTTCCTGCCACACATGCAAGCGCGGACTGGCCCTGACACTGCAAATGCTGCAGTGGGGAAGCATGAAACTCCCTCCAATGGCGTGCAGATTGACGTGTATTATTTGATGTGCAAGAGAAACAAGACGTGTACATCTTCACCTTTGCTGGCTGACCCTTTCCGTTTCAGACGCGGCTCGCATCGCCACAGGGCGCCTCACCATGGCCACGTTCCCCTCCCAGGCAGCGTCATGCAACGTGGCATTTTCCTGGTCTGCCTCGCAAGAACTTTGCCATGGCTCCTTGAGCCTTCTCTAGTTGTTCCAAGGAGGGCTCCATGTCGGACCCCTGTAGACCCTTAAGCCGACCGGCCTTTCAAACAAAGTGCGGCCAGCAACAAAACCGTAGATGCGTGGCCATCTTGGGAAAATACTGACGCAATCTTGTCTCTAGGTTTTGCCCACATGATTGATGCTTGCGGCTGGCCCTCTAGCGGCATCTGAAGAAGGGGTGGCAAAACCAGAATACAACCTTTTTTGTGGCATAAATTATCATGCCCGCTGCACGCTGCTGTTGCCGTCGCCTGGAGCACACTGCTCTTTCTTCGGGCCTCAGGGCGCAAAAGCATGTCCAAGCAAATAGACAGTATCGTGCTTCCACGAAGCATGCAACAAACACATCTTTCCTCCACGATGCCATGCATTAGCTATTCAGAAAAGCTTGCGTGCCACTCTGCCCTCTAAAGGTGCAAGAACAACACAAAACACGCAAATTCCCCGTGTATCACTCCAGAAGGCAATTTGCTGCCCGTCCGCTTCCTGAAGATGGCTGGCTCCTCTTCCTGTACGATATGATGAATGTGCCTGATGAGTTCTTGGCTGCTGTGAGTCGTGGTCATGCATCCTTAAGAAAACGCTTTTGGGATCGATGACCGGCCCTGCCAAGCCTGAACCACCAGTGCGCCTGTTCAAATTCCATGCGGATCTCGAAACCTTTTTCGGGGTTGGTTCCATCATGAAGGCATATCATGGGTCAAACAGCTTAAACCTCGGGCTGCGGTAGCAGCTCCAGTGATGTTTGAGCGATTTTCGCTCATGGCCCAACGGAATTGCGATGAGAGTCCAATGAATTCAATTGCATCACCCCGTGAAATTCCAATAAAGCTCTGGTGAAACTCCAAGGAAAACTATGCTTTGCACCCCAAACCGCTGCAGTGAAAATTGCTAAAAACACCAAAAAAAAACAATACATGTCCAACGAGACTCCACTGTTCCCCCACTCCAAAAAAAGCACCTAAGAAAATCCAATCAATCCTCTGTTTTGGAGCACATCAAACTCACATCCAAATGGACAAGCCTTGTTCATTAAAACAACATCTGTTTGAAGAAAGGATTCTCATTGGATTTTCACTTGACCATCACCCCCTCGCCCAAAGCTAACAATCCCCCCCCTCCCCAGTTTTAAAGCTCACTTGCGGCTAAGACTCTACTAGGGTTACGCTCTCAGTTTTGGTCGACCCCTTCTACTACCATCGAGCACCCCCGGGGAGGAATCCCAGTCGAGCTTTGGCTGCGGCTGACTTGGGGGTGGTTGGGCGCGAAGGCTTTGCGCTCGGCGCCTACGAGGATACCGACTGGACCGGAATGTGCCTCTCTGAAGCGCGGAGGGTTGCATATGGGTGTGGTTCAAAATTCAACCACCGGGCCGCAGGTTTTTGTCCATGTTTCCACTTACCAGGGCTCCATTTTGGCTACATATGTTTGACCCACAGCCATATGATACTGTTTATATACATATATACGGTTGTTGGATTCGTGTTTGCTTGATTCTACTATTGTTCTGCGTCCAAAATGAGGGATCCCGCACCGAGGGGCATCAGCATGGCAACCATCGTCATCTGAAATAAGAATTGAGGAATGAGTTTGAATCTTGAACAAGTCTGTACCAAACAGATTGACACCTGTTCCACAACAATGTGTCTGCTGCACTGTTTACGACTCCATCACTAGAAAAACACCTCCCTATCACACTGTGCATCGCGGCCAATAAAGGTACAAAAAAGGCACGATGAAAAACAACTTGGCGGTTCAATTCTCTTACCTCATGCTCAGACGTTTGCCTGCTTGTTTTCCGCATGTTTCGCTCATCGGCTTGCATGTCAGCGCCGCTCGGGCCACTGAAAGACGGCCGTCCTAATGTTGCTGAACTTGCTGTACCTTGAAAACTTCAAGACTTCTTTGAACCTGATAGAGCTTGCTACCTCTGAAGCCGCAAAGCGAGTTTCGAGCAGCTCCTGCTGCCCAAAAACGATATGCATGCAATTGAGCCCTCCTTGCCATCCAGAGTTGGGTGAGAACGGCAAGAACATGCGCACAAATTATGCCACCTCACACGTCCGCGGTACCTGCAGGTTCTTCAGCTACCGTCTCACTTCGAAACTCGCAGGATCCGATCCGTTCTCATCGTTGCGGCGGGTAGCGATATAGACAACCGCGGCAAAGGACGCCAAGAGTGAGGCCACAGCACAGAGGGCCGGACCGAAGGTGCCCCACTTCCTGAACCATTCCAGCGTGTCATTGGAGTTTCCCACGGCAAGGGCAGCAATCATGCAGCCACTGGAGATGGCGCTTGCAAGGCACACCGCCATCTGCATGAATGGTAGCTCGCATTTTGTACACACGTTTGCACTGGGGAGAGTGGCAAGGTCTTGAGCCAAAAATGGCTAGGGATCGAGATAGGATTGAGGTCCTCTGACACCCGCAGCCAATATTGATTTCATTGCGTGGGCTGCAGGTTGACATATTATCCTTCTTGATAGCTGAGAGGCGTTCGTCTCATCTAACCTGCTTACGAATTCCAGATGCCATCAATAATCATGACCTGCATTTTATGTAGGCTGGAGGGTTTCTGGGATCGACTTGGCGTTGCGCTGTATGCTATTCTGTGCGTATTTCGCGGATCTCCGCGAAGTTCTGCATCACGAATTTGGAAGCACCAGCGCAAAGCAGTTCTTGGAGCAAGCGCCATCATGCGCCGTCCAAGCAGCCGGTGGCCTAAAAATGCACCTCCGCTGATGAATGATCCCCCGTGACCGGCGAAGGGACAACACTTCTGCCAAGCAGAAGCGCTACAATGAGGACATGGGGCTCAGTCACCCAAACCAGCTGACCACTTGAAAGCCACGAGCCTCCTTCGCCACTAAGGCTGGCACCTTCGTCTGTGCCACACTGGCTGCTCCCTGTGTCTGCGATGTGTATACACGTGAAAAGTCTGGTTGCCACAGCATCATAGTGGAGTGACAGGGCAGAATAACAACTGGAGACAGCTAGAGGGCCATCAGCAGCTTTGTATGTACTTGCTCATACTCCATTGAAGAGATGGATGGAAGTTCCAAAATCAAAACAACATAAAACAACAACACATGGCCACGGGTCAAAATCCCGTACCCCCAGTGAACATCCCAATCCCCACGTTTTTGTTTTTCCAAAATGGGTGGTGCACCTACCCCAAAATGGTACCATTGGTTTGAACCTACAGCCACATATGACAAGCTCATCAGCATTGCGGGGTTGCAAGAACCTGGTTTGACAGCAGCTCCAAATGGTCTCAACATGTTCACCAGGTGATGCGCACTTGATTCCGTATATCCGCCTTGTATCCCAGTCGGATCCTGACAATCCACCCAAATTCCGATGCATCCAACAACGAACTTGAAATCCCTATTTGAATGGCTGTCACCAGCCGTCTTTATTTCCCACCATTCTTTTGGAAGAGTGCCATGACAGTCTAAGCAACTGCTGAGACCCCTTGACACCGGATAATGGACTGGCCTTGCTCTCGAGGACGCAGCAAGCGCTTATGGCGCCCATGGCCGCAGCAAGCGGTTGTGGTGCCCATTGCCGGGGGCTGTGGGCCCAAAACGAGGGCCATGATGCAGTTGACTCCGCTCCGCTAGTAGGCAGGCCCGGCCCTCACCCATTCCGGGCATTGCCTGAAGTGACAGTATCACGCCTCCGAACCCCGCCAACCAGGATGTAGCAACCCTGTGTGCCGCAGGCACGGTTCTTTTCAGACCGCAGCAGCTTAGCAACGGGGTGAAACATGAACAACACATCAATGGACCACTAATGGGCATGTGCAAATGACAACGGGTGTGGGCTTGAGTAAGCTGTTTGGTGGTCATTGGGCGTGTGGATCTTAGATGCAGCCAGCGCATGTCGAAAGGCTTGCGGGGGCTGAGCTCACACACAGGGCTGCCTCCTGACAAGTGAGTCCGACGCTCGCCAAGGGGGGGGAATGGTCGAACCAAAGCAAGCCCACATTGGACAACGGACGCCCACAAGCAACATAGCCTACCAAAACGGCCGCAGCCTCCGTTTGACAAAAGCGTCTCGCAGGAACTCAGGCCTGAAGGCCTCTGCCTCTTTGAAGTACTGGGTGTGCATGCCTGGCCCAGCGCATCCAAACGCTAGCTTCCCCTAGTGGTTGAATATGGATTCCTCCTAATCAGTATGTTTGCCCCGAAGCATGTCCCCAAACAGCAGCCCTGGCCTGGGCCACTCAAAGTGAAGTTCACTGCGAGGTAGCAAACAGAATGCTTCCAAAAAGCTCAGCCCAGCCTGGGTAGAGGATGTACTTGCCAGGCCCCACCTGCCACAACATGCAAGCCCAACGTCGCCAGCGCCCGTGCGGTCACCTTTCTGGCCGAAACCCAATCGCAACGCCAAGCCTCTGGTGGGCTGCAGACCTTATCCTCCAGCGCGTGCCTTGCAGAAAAATGACGCCAGCCGAACGGGCTTAATACCTCCAACCAGTGAATCACTTGCCAATGGCCCAAAGGGCAGAATCAAATTAAAAACTTGGCTTTTTCGCGGTTTGCCCCCAAACCATGTAAAGAATCAAAAGGGCGGCCGCACCACTTTATGGGACATGTTGGGGCATGTGGTCCCTCCTACTAACTTTCACTCGGCCCAGTATTGACGTGCTTCGAGATATAACTTTCGCCAAGCACAAGGGACCCAAGTTGGAGCTTTGTGGCTAGGCAAGGAGAGTCGCTCAGACTCCCAGCACAGCTCAGGGCCGTGCCGCTCGTTGGAGATCTTCTGAGCGCGCGCATCCTCCTTTGGCATGGTCCACCTTGAGTCAAAATAGATCAATTCAGCTTCCCTCCAATTGGTGGATTGGGAGTTGTTGAAATCCCCAAACTACCAATCCAACCCACCCAACTAGGGGTAGCGTGATCAATAGCATTCAGGAAAAAGCATGGGTACACGTGGCATTCTCTGAGGCAATCGCTTTGGTTTGTTGGTGTGGTGGCTGATGACACTCAGGTCCTGCGACGCTTCAATGCGCACCTAACTTGCAACAGCACGCAGCGGCTAACCGGACCCCCCCCCACTCAGGTCAATTTGCTATCTGTGCAATCGGACTCTGACTTCACAAACTGTGCAACCAATTGGCGGGCTTCGCGCGACTAAATTTGGAGCTGGCCGGGGATGGAGCTTACGGTTTGATGTAGAGCTCGCTCAGGGTTTGGTCCAATTTTGGGGTGGAGTTGATGAAGCCCATCAGCACGGCAGCACAGCAGCCCGGCCACTCCTTGGCAAGCCTCACCTGCGCATGTTCTGGACCAGTGTAGCCCGGGCCTTCCACGAAGACGTCACCCTGCGGACTGAGTTGGCTGAGCTGCCGCGTGGCGCTGAGATAAAGCAAAGGCCATCAGAAGATAAGAACCAAAGCTTTGGCAAAAAGAGCAGCCATACATGAAAACGCTTCACAATTGCTGCACAAATGCAAAGGCACCAATAAAGCTGGGGATGCGCTTCCTCCAGAATCCTTGTCAAAGCGGTGCCGGCAATCTGGGGTTAAAATTTAGACTAGAGGTTGCCAAAACTGGAATCTGTTCAGTGCGGTCTGCAAACAATGCTGGCAGCTTGGTAAATCCAAACGGTTCACTCTAAGGTGAGGGATCCTGAGCCTCAATAGGCTTGCCGCGACCAGACCTGCCTTCGGTGGTGCACGCCGGCCGACAAGGCTGTAGGAAGCCGACTGGCGCGCGCCCCGCTGTTGGGTTACGTCTGACACCGCACAAAGGCAACCTTGATGGCCGAGATCCGCGGATTCATCCATGCAAATATAAGACTGGTCAAGCCTTCGTGCTGAAATCCCCATGACAAGAAGTTATCATCATTCAAACGGCTTGCTCTTCATTTAATAATCTGTGAAGACTTTGCCGCGTTGCATGGCTGTGGTCTCCCATCAGTGACGCGGTATCCCAGCACCGCATGCCAAAGTTGAAGCTCGGCCGGCCTTCTTTAGCAGCCGGGACTCCTCTTCATGGCCTGTCGAGCACATTGCTAGGCCGGGAAAAAGGGCGAATGTTTGCCTTAAAGACATATGCTTGTCAAGCATCCCTTCAGCTAATCCTCTGAAAGGCAAAAAGCAGGACGCTTACTTGGCAGCGGACCTTTTTTGAGATTAGTAGCAGGGCAACGGGGTTTTGTTGAATCTGTTGAATGACAGCCTAATTTTGAACCACCTGCATAAACACGTCACTCGGCTGTCGTCAAAACCAGCTTCCAATGCGCCCAGGCCCATTTTCCGCTTGCAGTCACGGTGTCCGCCGGGCGGTCTTGGCGGAACATGTCGGGCCGGTCTGCGCGTTGAAGCCCCTGGTCTCGGACCAAGTCGTGGGTCACGGCAAGCTCCTCTTGCCATCTGCTCCTCGAGCGCCTTTGCCGCCTCAGGCGCGCTCAAGTCCAGGACCTCCTGGCGGCCGGTGCCGAAGCCAAGTTTCAGCATGGAGCGAGCTGACAGTCACAACGCGCGCCTTCAATGGTCAGGTGGTAGGCCGTCAGATTAGCCTGTTCAGGTTCATGGCCGATCAACGTCAGCATCACTCTCTGACCTGATAATCTCACCCAACAACTGTGTGTGCATTCTGTGTTGCAGTGGACCGCCCGCCCACCCCCCCACCCCCTGTTGCTAAATAGACCCTACACGGCCAGCATACCCCGAGTTGGTTCCCAACCACCGGTTTAGGCCTACGCGGCTTGTAAGCATACTATGGGGGTTCAGCCCTGGCTTCCACCCCAATGCGCGTCAGGTTTGTAACAAGTTCAAACCCCGCATGCCCCCGCAAAACCCAACCACAAGCAAGCATTCAAGCAAAGCCTGAGCCAAGTGAAGCAAAGCAATAAAGAAAGCAAGCTGGCAGAGCCAGCAAGGCGCGCTGCCGCAGCAAAGCAAAAGCGAGCAAGCCCGGGCAACGCCAAGCAAGGCAGACACAGCCAAGGCAGCCAAGCAAGCAGCCAAACAGGCAAAGCAACCAATCAGTAGCGGGATGATCCACCATATCACATTAGATCAAGGTCAATCCAACCGGCCCAAAACACTTCAGCCCCTCGCAATGTTGCGAGGAGTCAGCCTGCATCCAGTTGCTCCGAAGAGGGTGGCTCCAGCAGCGACTGAGAGAGAGGCCTCCGGCGATTGACAACTCGCTGCAAAAGGCAAGGTGCGTGCCAGAAACCTTGCGAGCAAACTCTGGCCTTACTCGATCGCCCTGCTCTGCCCTGTACTGTGGCCCCACACCGCCACACTCCGAATTCCCCAAAGCCCGCAGCCTGACATCTGGCAGGGCTGCAAGCGAGGCGTGCGGCCGCAGCCGCGGCCGCAGGTTGGACCCGTCCACTAGGTAGAACAAGTCCCGCACGTCGCCCAAGAGGGCAGAGACCACCTCGGCACACATCCCCGCAGTGCCTAAAACGTGTCGAGGCCAATGAGATGCTGTGAAACTTGATTCTTTCTTTGCTTCGAAACAAGGTGGTTCACTTGGCCAGTTGCAATATGAGGGCAGAATAGAGGGCCCTGCGAAGAATGCACTGAAGTAGTTTACGTAAAGGGTGACAGGCGACAGGTGGACCCTTTTTCAGCATGCCGTTTTGCTGCTGTATGCAGAAAAAAGGACATGACTCACCTCACATTTCAGAAGCAAACGCCACTGTGAGGTTTCTGAGTTCTTCAATGACATATCACTCCATCCAACGCAATCTTGACTTCCAGGCGCCTCAAGCGGAATGGCGGAAGTCATTGAGTAGCAATCACTTTCTTTGTACTTCCCAGGCACCTCGCTGCTGGTGCGGATCAGGTCTCGCGCATCCGTGCCTGGCGAAGCTGGAGTGCACTCTTTGGCAGCGGGATGACACAGGTCCCTGGGTGCAAGAAAACCGATGGCATGCAGGTGCGGACAACGGTGAGGCATGTCCAGCTGTTGGTCATGTCAAGTGTAGGTCTCGCCTGCATGCATCACTCAATCTGCGAAGATATTGGGAAGTGTCAACGTGTTCCAGCGAGTGGGGCGTTCCAGCGGATGGATCGCCGGATTTCTGACTGACCAGGGAATCGCTGCGTTTCCCTATGGACTTAAGCCGTGTAAAGGTTGAGAGGGGCATGGAATTAGCCTTCTGGACTTGCACAAAAGAACGGCATGGCTGAACATCGCCTGCACTTCTCTAACACGTTCCTGATTGGCCTCTGCTACGTGATGCCCTCCGGATGTATGCAGGGGGTTTGCGGCGGTGGCTTGGCAATGCAGGGAACTTGCAAGAGCCTACCCGGACAGCCATGGAAAACACCACGACAGCTTCACACAATGGGATTAGAACATTCGCACGGCCATTGCCCATCATTTGATGGTTTGCAAGGATTTAATGGGATCATGGGTGCCGTCCAAAATAATTGCCTTGTCTCTTACTTGCAGTGGGCTGTGCCAAAACTAACTCGGTTGCTTTCTGCTCCCCTAAAAGTTGAACTGTTAGTGGTTTGATGAAAAACGAACCAAAGTTCAAAAAGTTCGGCAAAACGCGCCAAAGATAAGAAGATAAAGCAAATCGTTTTGGCGTGCACCGCCCCAAGCCGCCTGCGTGGTCCAGCGCCTCCGCCTCGCCGCGCTTCGGGAGCGCAGACCTGGCCTCCTGGAGGCTATCCAAACTGCTGCCTGCGGAGCGGAAGTTCGGAAGGCCCCCCCCCCCCGTGTGCATGCGGATTTGTGAGCGTCCCGGTGTTTTCGTATCTATGTATATGGGAGCCATATGTAGATATGAATCAATATGAGATAGAACATGCCTAACGTCTTATACTTGTAAACTCAATTCATTTATCCACATACGTATGCGAGAGCTTCGGAAAGGTGCGAGATACTGTACTTCACACGGGCCGGCAAGATGGCGATCTCACTGAGCAACTCAAGTTTCTATAGCTCGTCTATGTATGAAGTTCCAAGCTCTGCAACTGTAAGCCAACATTCGAACATGAGCCTCGGCCTGACAGCCGCTGCCGCTTTGTTAAAGTAAACGCAACGTGACTGTGGCAAACATATTATGGATTTTGAAGCCGTCATAGCCGTCATTACTGCTGAACCCTACCACATGACCACATGTGCGGTGCTCATCAGTATTCATTGACATTCATTGACCGTTCCACTGACATATTTTTGTTCAACAACTGCAATGGCGTCGTCCTCCGCCGACTCATCCCGAACGGGGCTTGCGCGGGTCTCTGCCTGCGGTCTTGAGGCGCATGGCGAGGTCGCTGAAGGCTTCCGCCAGCCGCTTCTGGTCCTGGCCCAGCTCCTCGGCATAATGGACGTCAACGCGAGCCTGTTTTCCAGGATGGACATCGAAAGGAAGTTTCTTTTCAGATTGAACACTGGTTGGGCAGGATTCGCAAATGGCGAAAAAAATAAAGGAAGATTGCCAAAAATCGGCCAGCTGTGTGTCGATTGGCAACTTGTCAAGTGGCCAGGGGACGTTTCCGTGCGAGAAAACTCCGAAGGATTTGGCTATGCAGAAGCCTGCCAAACATGATTCAACCGCAAAACACTGATCGTGTTGTTCTCCACGCGCCCCTGCATGAGTATCTATGGCCTCCCCTCCAGGCACGCCAAAACCAAGGACAAACCTTGGCCATCCCAGCGAGCACATTCGCGCACCATGTTGCTGCCATGCCCCTGGGTGGTTGGCCAAGAAGTTTCAAGCACAACTGCGGTGTACCGGGCCAGACGTGTGCAGAATCCAATAATCTGCTGGGTAATTAGGGCCATTCATTCTTCACCTCCCCTTGTCTTCATTTGCTTTGGACCTGCGTATGTGGACGGCATGGACACGTGCAGGCATGTCTTTCTTTTGCGTGCGCACTTAGCATGGTAGCAAAACATCGCTCCGTGACACGCTGGACTTGTTGATTTACTTTCTCATCATGTGTGTTTTCCCGAACGTGCAAGGAGTTGGTCAAGCGTATGGCCTCCCCTCAACGCATGCCAAAACCGAGGATGGACCTTGGCGCAGCCCCAGCCAGTGCATTAGCGCATCGTGCCGCCCCGTGGGTCAATCACCCCACGGCGGGTACGTTGGCCAAAAAAGATGCAAGCGGCGGAAAAAAAAACCAAAAAAAAAAAAAAAAAAAAACGACAAACAGAAAGTTGCCTTTTTCTCGGATGGCGTTCGCTATTCCCATCAATGGTAGAAGCATCTTAGCAGTATGCCAGTTAAAGAAATCCTCTTGATCTCCCAGGTATTGCATTCCTGTGGATGAGTTCAAGCCTATCTCCTGTGATATGGCAATTAACAGGCAGTGGGCCACCGCGACACCGGCTGAACCTCCTGTCCTCGATTTCGAAATCCAGGCGCTTCACCACGGCAGGCCCTGGTGCCGGAAGCTCATGCGCCTCACCAGATCGACCAGATTGGGCAAAAGCAACGGAGCCACTTGGACCAGCTCTACCTCGAGAGGTAAACAAATGGCGGGCACTGCATTCAGTTCTCAAAATGTACATTGCGTGCACGTGCACATATAGTACACGATTACCAAAAAAAAAGGTCACCCAGAAAGCAGGCCCGACGTGACATGCCAAACTGTAAACTGCTATCAGGTGCGATTGCTTTGGCAAGAGCCCTGCGACAAAGGGTCAGCAAAAAAACAAATCTGTTTGTCTGCACGGAAAGGGCTGTCTAGGCATACGGCATGGCAGCAAGGCACCTGGCGCAAGTATTGGACCGCTTCTTCGGCTGTCTGGTGCAAAGCGAACCAAAAGCCCGCGCGATCCTCAGCTACATCAGTCTCACATGGTGGTGGAGAGGCATGAAAGCAATGCTCAGCTCAAGTTAGGTCCAAAAAGGGGTTGCTGCGTCCAAAGCTAGTCGTCTCCGGTAAAGGTAGCCCTGGCACCAGAAACGATAAGGGACCATCCCCCCCCAATGGCTGGCCAAATCTTGCCAAGTTGCACTCCGCAACTTTGTAAGGTCGTCATTCACTCGGGAAACCTTCTCAACGAGCTGCTTCACTGAAGCAATGCGCGACTCGGCACGTGGGTCCTCCGAGAAGCATGCAACGATTCTCCAATTGCATTCTTACATGTAGGACGTTCCGTCACTCAATGGCATGCAAGCATGTGTGTCTTTGGACATCTTTGGATATCTCAGCACGTCATGCAGTATGCATATAAGTTTAGACTCGCGGCCTTCATTCCAGAAATGACCCCTCAGTGGGCCTGGAAGTAGCTACCTTCCCAAGAGCTTCAAGAACTGGGATGCAAACCTTCCTGCAAAGAATGCGCGACCAACAAATTCCCGATGATTCACATTTGGAAGGAGCGACATCCATGTGCAATGGCCTGACCCACGGGCAATTTGTCATGCGGCCACCCAATCTGCATCTACAGGAACTTGCGCCACCGTCCCCAGCTCCCCTCTCCAATCTATAGCATAAAAGGTTCTGAACATAGACTACGGCTACTGGTCAAAGATCGCCACTTCCAATGCAGCGACTGCATCTGTCCTCTTGGCCCTGCAGCAGGGAATGCCGCGCTGCCTGCTCCAGGAGAAGGATCATGGCCTGCAGGGCGCCAAGGAAAGACCTGCCCCTGTGAACGGTGTGCGCCTTTTCTTCGCACAAAACATGTTTGCTCTACTGCATGCGTGGGGAACAATTGGATTTGTGCAAAGAGGATATGCCGAAACCTGGCCTCAAACCTTTGTCAGCGCCCAGCCAGTCGGCCCCAATGAATCCCAAAACCACTCGACTCCCATCGACGGCTCACATCAATGCTATCATGCAATTCACGCAACATGCAGCACAGCATTCCAGCTTGGCGGATCTGCGGACACGTGTGCAGGTGATCAATGATCGTGGAGATGTGGCCCACGTCGAAACTCTGCTCACTGAAGGAGAGACCAACCGAATAACCATGCAACCAAGCAACAAAACGGCAAGCCGAACAAACGAACAACCCACCAACTGACCGAACCCAACCCACTAACCCACTAATCCATTAGACCGCCCACCCGTCCATCCAGGCAACCCAGCATCCACACAACCAACGCCCACCCCTTTCAGCCACACTCCAAGAAGCAACGCTAGACCAATCAAAAGGCTTCCGAGGAAGCAGCTGAAAACATCAATGCTGAAATGGATGGTCTGCCTCATGCAGCTCCAAGATGCCCTCGAGGCCGCGATCCACCAAGCGCTGCATATCCTGCTTGCCGCGTGCAACTAGCTGAGTGAAGCTTAAGAATGGCGATCCGCTTTCTGCCTTGACATTCTCTCAAGTCAAGGGCAAAGGACTATTCCTCCCGGCTGAGCAAAACAAACACACACACACACATCAAACTTGAACGACGGCCTTGTGCGAACTTGAAATTATTCCAATGCGGTTCTGGAAGCGCAGCCTCGACAAAACAAGAGCCTGTGCGGTGGCAAAATCCGTCCCAAAATAATGATTTGCTCTTGGGATTTTATCATCCGTGGATCGCCGCAAACCATTTATGACTGTAGGGTCCACCCTCCCAAAGATGCACCAACTTCATGACACACTGCAGCAGCAGAAGGATGGAGGGTGGTAAACTTCCATCTACGCAGCTGGCCGCAAGTCCCCAAATCAATTTGAGGCTCATGACTTTAAATACAAAAGACAGGAATCACATTCTGGGAGCCCGAGATCTGGAGCACTTTTGGATAGAACACCACCGCTGCACCGCCAAACCTTCAAACATGGCACGTCGCTGGCTCGTGCCTGAGCCCAAAGCCAGCTTTGGCTGCGCTGCACCGTCAGGCTCTCCAAGGCCGTTTCCACCGAGGGCAGGTCCATTGGGGCCACCTGTCTCCCCAAGCATCGGTGGCAACGAGAGCCGAACACAGGAGCACAAGCTGCAGTCCCCTTGGACATGCACTTTAAATACTCACTTCTTTCACTTCTTGAGGAGATTGGGCCAAGAAAGTTGAAATGATGTTGTCTTCAAAGTGATCTTCCCAAAAAGCATGACGTGCAGCAACACAGTAAGTGCGGATGAGCAGCCAAGCACAACCATACGCTGCCCAACTCAGTCAGCACACATGCGAGATCCCCTGCCGTTCCAGGGTTTTGCACATAGTGCGTATAAACCCCAATCCAGTTGTTGAAGCAGATATGCAGAAGCAAATCCCCCCTTCAAATGGGGGATCTATATTATTCATAGCAGTCAGCAAGTTGCCATGCATGCCAGGGGTTCGCAAGTCCCAAGGAGTAAGGGTGCGTTGGCAAAGGCCATGCTAATTTTTCCTAAATGCAAAATGACATGCAACTTCCATTGCGCGACACCTCCATTTTTGGGATGTGGCCCCGGGATCAACAGCTTGTCAAACATGTCCAGCCGGCCGACTAAACTTTGAAGGCCAGCGCAAACCGATACTGGCAATGCGACAGCCCTGCACATGTTGAGCAAGGTATACTTTTGTCCCCCCCTCCAGAGCCAGAAATAGTTCACACAAATCAAAGGATGGCTTTTCCGCAGACTTTCTCAGCTACTGTGAGGGTCCGCTCAGGATGGTCAGGATACCAAATCATGCAAACATCCCCTTCCGCCTCCCGCAAGTGTCGAGGGGTAAGCTGTGGCGCTGGCTTCGGCTTCGGCTTTGGCGGCCTGGGGCTGATGATACTACCCAGCGCCCACGATAGGCAGAATCGCACAAAGCACTGGCGCTGATTGATGACGGGCAGCCTTTGGGCAACAAATGGTCTTAGAAGCAAGGGCTCAGGACAAGTGGCAGCTGCTCTTGGCAAAAAAAAAGCGAGAAAATGCCGGACTCACTATGTCACTACTGCAAGGTAAGGCTGGCTGAAAGTCAATCCTACAACCACGCTTGCTGACTTGTATGCGTCTTGTGGAGAGCCTCCCTTCATCTGTCAGTCTTCGAGGCGCGCGACCCTATCTAGCATGCCTAGCCTTTCAAACGATCCACCAAACAGAACAAAGGAGCCTGACGTAATTGAGTGCGTCATGAATTTGACCAAAGCGCCTTGGGGAAATGTGACGTCGACCCTTTTGACAACCATGGGAAAAATGCACCCCAAAACGTGAAAACGCCTCGCACACGCGCAGATTGACTGCGTCTCATCCGAGGCACGGCGCAGGCAGGGGTGCTGGCGCTGGCAAAGGCAGGGGCTCCTCCTCGAATACTGCAATCTTCAGGTCTGCGGAAACAGTTGAGCAAGCATGCCCTAGAAATAACGGTTGTTCTGGCCCTCCAGGGCCTGATAAGTTGGTGGCCCCTGGCTGAGGGGATCCCTTGCATGGCCTAGCGCCCTTGGAAAGCGGCGCGGGGTTGGCAGGGTCCTGCTGACAAGCCCTGCAGTGCCGCCGGTGCTCCAGAATCTGCTGCCGGGCTTCCTGCAGCCAACAGGTATGCATTGGTATGCAGCTTGCACCACTTGCTTTCTGCTTGTGGCGTTGCCTGCCCAACTTGTGTCGGTCTTGGTCTGTCGCCGGCACTTCGTTGGCACGCGGAATCGTGGAAAATGAAATCCCATATCGCGCTGCCTCCCTTGGCATATTCCCGACTGCGTGCGGGGTCAGTTCATCAAAACCTCCTTTGGGGTTGGCCCATGGTGCCTCGATGGCACAGCGCTTGACTCGATCAAAGGCCTTGCCTCAGAGCGATGGGAATGACCAGAAGCCCGCACACCGATCTTTACCAAAGCTTTGTGCTGTTCTTCTTGAAGTCAATATGAACATTCAACACACCTCTCAAACTCAGGATGGCTTGATGCTTGAGGATCACTTTTGGCCAAGTTCTACCCTTTCGGCAGTCACAAGGGGCCTAATCATCTTGGATGGGTCCCGCTATGTCCTCAAGAAAAGGGCCAAAACCCAAACCATGATACGTAGACAAGATCTACGGGAAATTCTACAGCACATTGGCTAAATACTGCCAAATGCTCGACAAAAAGCCCGGTTTCCAGCAACAATGACCAGCGGCAGGTTGCTTAGAATATCTTAGAATGATGCACCCCGTTTTGACCCATAGGCTGATGTCAGTCCGGGCTACGGAACTTCTCCTCGGCGATTTCCATTGACTTCGCATGACGTGCCTCGCACTGACGCCTCAGAACAGCCACATCATGATCAATGCGAACCCCCCAACTGAAGATCTCCCAAGTCCTAGCCGTCAACTCCAAAAGCAACTTGTATTCCCTGAAAGGGCCAAATCCAGCCGCCTGCCCAAAAGCTGGCAACTTGGCCCACAGCCGCGAGACCAAGGCGCAACTTTGCGGCCAGTGTCTCCAGGGCCGTCTCCCTGCCTGAGAGGGTGACAAAACTGCTTCCCCTGGACGCAACCAGGTGCGGCTCACAGTCCAAAGGCTGTTCAGGCCGTGCGGCAGTTGAATCATCGAAAGTGAAAGGAAGCAACAAATTGTGTGGCATTGGTTGTTGCACTGACAGCGTGCGAGTTGCATGCAACGTTGCGTCAACTGTGGATGCTTCCAACACCAGGGTGCCCCCCAGTCCCATTTGGTGTAGTCATGCCGGGCTCAGAACGGATTGACCAGGGATGGAAGTACAGCTCAGGTACGGAAGCGGATACACTTAGCGAACGACTGGTGTGATGCAGCCCGACCAAGCAGCGCAACTGGCCCAAAAGTGGATACAAGGGCCAGCAGGTGGGTCACTAGCATGCAGCGCGAAACGCACTAGCGTGTGTAAGGCCCGTCGCAATAGATTCCATCGTTCAATGTCGGAAGCAAGCACTAGACACTAGTGCACACATCAGGGCTGGCAATAAACACTAAGCACTCGACTTAAGCACTTTTTGCAAACCTGTTGTTGCTATTGTTTGGTAGTGCCAAGCGAGCTGTTTGGATGAGCCACCCGCACACAAATTGCAATTGTGTCTTGTTGGTCGAACTGAATTTGCTCGCGTGGATTATCGTGGTTTATTTCTCGCTCCAATGCCATTCGCGTTTGTCAGAGGGTTTCTTGCCAGGGTTTACCTGTCAAACCCATGTTGGCTAATTAGGCGGGATGAAGAGTAGGCTGAGTAGGCCAAGTAAACCAACCATAGTCCAATGCCGTGTCACCCGAAACACTTCAGAATGTCGGCTTCGTCTCCTCGCCCGGCCGCTGACAAGCCGAGGCGCTCCGCAGCACGGTCTCATGCTGAAATTTCCTTGGCATCCAAGCTTTCAGGCAGGCGAGCAGATTTGGTAGTCCGGACTCATGTTGACGCTTCAAGTGATGTGGCTGGGAAGCACCAAGTCTTCAAGCCGAAGACATAACACCATCAGCCGTTGTTCCGCCCTATTCTTTTGTGGCGGGACCATCCTGATTGCTCATTTCCAGGGCTCAGGTCTGCCATCTCATCCTCGCTGCGCTGAACGGCCAGCTGGTACTTGAGCTCTGCTGCCTCCAACTGCTTCTTCAGCCTGGATTGCTCCGATCATCAAGCCAGCGATCTGCCGAGGAATTGCCAATACGCAATGACTGTAGTCCTTGCCCCAGCTGCAAGATCTACATATATGCAATTGCCCATGTTGCATCCGGATGCACAAGGTCACTGGGCATAAACGGTACACACAGTGTCCTACGTCGAACTCCGTAGACAAACAGGGGACCATTGTAATACTGTTGTAATTACTCAGGGTTGATAGCTTTGCTTGTCTCACATCGGAAATCCAGCGTGCTCTCACAACTCCATAGCACCCAAGAGAGACACCGATTGGATGCTGAGGAATCTCCAATGAGGGGGGGAGCCAGCCCTGTTTGAGTGTCCGCCTCTGCACCGCATTCTGCTCCTTCCGCTCTGCAGTCTCTTCGCTGAACTGATGCTTCCTGTGCACAAGCGCGAGGCCCCTTGGAGCTCATCGCTCGCAAAGCCCCTTCCTCTACAAGCGTAAGGTTTAACAAAGAAGCCCCGCATGACCATGATGGATTAAACATGAATTAGCAGGGAGCAGTGTGCTTGTACGGTCAATTCAGGACTACAAGTGATGCATTCTATCGTGCAGGGTGCGACACCGGCAGCCAGAACCAATGAACGCCAAGCAAAATGCATGGAAAGCTGACCATCACTGCGCCACGCATCATGGGTTTGACTCTGTGATGGACCCAGCCGAAAGGGTGCAGTCTATCAGAAACCAACTCGAGAAGCAATGCAGGCTTCAGGGCTATTTCCGCAATATGTTGCTCAGCTTACTTTGAGACAGCATCAAGCGCACGCAGTTCCGTGCGCTTGATGCCTCCGGCTAGGGACAGCAGTCCCACCCCAAAGTCAGACGAGCAGCTCTTTGGCCCAGGTCTCAGCCGCCTCCAGCAGCCTCAGTCAGCTGATGTTCAAAGCATGCCGAGATATGGGCGCGGCCCAAATTCAAGAGCTAGGGTTACGCAGGTTTTAATCTTGGGTTCCATGTACCAAGGTGCCGTTCTGGTACATGTTGTGTGAGCTACAGCCATATGCCAAGTGAATGCCAAGCAAACCGAGCTGCACTTTGTTCGTCTCTGCTGACGACAGGGCTGCAGCGTGGCGTTCTTCCAGATCCTAGGCTACCAGTCATCTCAGGCTCTGAGCCAGGGCCGAACATTCGAAAAGCACAGAGTCCCAACTGGCTCTCAAACAAAGTATTTCCCTTGCTCCTTTGGAACGGGGCCAGTCCTTCCAAGTTTAGGTCTTTATTCCACCCCTGGACCGTGGAGAGCCCATATTTCAAGGAACCTCTGTCAACACACGCCCCCCTGCTGATTGGTCTTTGGCGGGCTTTGGCCAAATAGCAGCGCCGAAAGGCAGGTCGTCACATTCTAGCCTGGAACTCGAGCAAGAGAGGCCAATATGCCAATATGTTTCCACAGCGTTCACTTCTGACAAGTGGCAGACTTCATCTTGTCGAGTGCGAACCTTGGCCACGCGCGATCAAGAAACATCAGGCACACTGACCCAATTGTGCTTTGCTCTGTCAGCGCTGGGCCCGGTCACCCAAGCATGAATCGCTGCAGGCGAGCAACTCATGCAAATGCTGCATGCTGTCCACCTCTTGCTCAAACCTGAGCAAGGTCACATGACTGTCTCATGCCTCGTGCTGGGCTGCGATGCTTCTCTGCATCTGCGCAAGCATCCTTGCCAAAAGCATGATGTCCGGTGGCAAAGCAGTATTCCACCAATTCCTTGCTTCCGGCATGCCATTGTAAGCTCCCTTTGCGAACACCCACTTCAAGGCGCGGTCTGGCGCCATTTGCGGGGGGGGGAGGGGGAGAGGGGTTCTTTCGTCGGCCGAGGGTCTTCTCCTCGGCTATGGACAATCTTGTCTCCGCACTTTCCATGTCTGCCTCGCATTGCACCATGGCGTGATTGTACCTGAGCGCTACGTGCGATTCCAGCCGCTTTGGTGGGCAACCAGGGTGCATTTGTTTAAGGTTTAAATTGCGGCTGACTGCAGCAACTGGCTCCACTGCCGTAGTTTGCAACAAACAGCAAGCTTCCACATGAAAAGAATCAAAAGCTTGTCCCTGTGCCGTGCATGTTGGTTTGCCTTTTGCTCTTGGGTTCCGACAACACCAAGCTCCCACGCTTGATCATGGCACTCTCCAGCGCTAAAAACATGAATAGAAACAAGCTTCTTTGACGTTTTTGCGTCCCAAACTCTCCAGAAATCATGCTTCCAACACCTTGTCGAAGCACTAACCCTCAGCAACCAATAAATGTGGATGCGGTAAAACGCAACAACAGTTTTAGCTTGAAAGGGTAGAACATCGGCTTCGACACCCATGGAACCTGTGCCAGGGTGCTGGTGGTCTACATCTGCCAGCGCTGTCACATGCTTCTCCTCCTATGCGCAAGGATCCCATGGCCATTCCCCGTTATGTCGGAAAACTGGTTGAACTCCTGTTTTCATGGGCCAATCGGAATCTCCCATTTTGCTATCATTGCGGGTTATCTATGGGTTATCTGTACCTGTCCTGGCAATTCGCCGGGTCCCAAAGTGCCCAACCCGAAGTTGTCCGAAAGTACAGCTGCGCACGAGGCCGAAGCAATCTGACGTCCAGTGAACTACGTGGGGAACACCCAACGACTGCATTGAGGTCACAGGTTGGTGCGTAACATTGTCCACTGGATCAACGGGAAGAGCCTAAACTTCTGGGTCCAAGAGTCAAAGATAGTTGACATTCGCGGCCAAAAAGCTTGCTTGAGGTTTGCCAACAGCCATAGACAGCTCTAAGTAAGGAACCCCACCTCCGGGCTGAGGCACGGGCCATTTCTTTCCGCAGCAGCTCCATAGCCTTGTCGTGCTTCTGCCTCATTGCCTCCATGAGGTTGGTGTACTTCTCCTCACCGGATGGAGGTCCATAACGGAAAGCATTGCAAAGCAAAGGTCGGAGTCATTGCACAAGCTGCCAAGCTGTCCCCCGGAGGGCCCCCGAGTTCTCTGGACGATCGAAGAGCTATACAAGGCGGGTGCCGAAGCTCAGAGCGTGAGATGGGATTCTGCATTTGCACACCATTTCAGGAACGCTGCTAGAATGAAAAACGAAGGGCCAGCAAACTAATTCGATCACCACTCGGCTTCGGGTCCGCACTGTTTGATGCCTGGCATTATTCACGTGGCTTTTCTTCGCATTCTCACCGTGCCAATGTGGCAAACCAGCCTCTCACCATGCACTAAACAGAAAGAGTCACGAACGACGCAACCAATTCCCCAAACATGTGGAAGAACTATCATTAACCCCTATTTCTGTCAATAAAATATGCAAATGCTACTATGCCATGTATGGAGCCACAAATAAACCTTCAATTATGCTCCAAGCATCCACAGACAACTGGTACTTGATCTGCCCGGCTTCCAGGGCTGCTTCCATCCTCACCTCGAACAGCGCTGGGCCCACCGTGCCACCAAGTCGGAAACTAAGCTAAACGGGGGGTCCTTCAGGTTTGGAACTCTGGCCGACCCAAAAAACAGGCAAGGAGAAGCCAAGGCTGCAAGAGACGAGGGAATGTACATCAAGCACAGGCACCACTTCATTACGATGATCTTCTGCCAGCTCCTTGGTCTCTTCCTGGTGCTTGCTCCGCAGCTCTATCGAGCTCCGCTCCAACGCCTCCTCTGCGATTGGCTGTGAGGTGGTGTGCCCGACCAAAGCTGCAAAACAAACCAAGCAGTGGAAGCTGGAAGTCAATGAGGGAAGGGTTGGGAAGGGAAGCAAAGCTGGCATGAACCGGCTTAGCTGCATCATCCGTGCGTATATGCGTGGATGCTTGCTTGCACGGTGCACCCATTCACCGATGCACCCAACCACCCACACGTGCACGAGTAAAACCCGACGGCTGAGCCAGTGAAATGAAACACTGCGCAGAACAAACCAAGAAGCACGTTTGCCTGGCAATGTGGTGACTTTCAAAGTGGTGAAGTCCCGTTTTGGTTCAGACACCATGGGTAACAATCAACATGTTCACATGCCACGAGTTGGAATGGGGTGAGTGAGGTAGTTGACAGAATTCATCTCAACCGAGCCACACATCAAACTCAGCCGAATCCTAAGGAGCATGCGCCATAATTCCCTTTAAAACCGAGCTCTTGTCCATCATGAGGCTCCTCCAGTCTTTCTGCGGCTGCTTCCCTGGCGTCAATGTGCTTCTGCTCCAGATCACGCAGAAGAGCCTTGGGAAAACATGTTGCACAAGAAGCCCAAAAGTGCAGATTTCCCGGCTTGGCGGATGGATCACCGGAAACTAATCAATGCTTGCATTGGGGTTGGCGCTGCTAGACTTTCGGCCCTTTGCTGCTGTCAGTGGGTGTCAGCACCGCTCCTGCAATGCTGCAAAGGCTTGAGTTGGAACTCGTAACGGTGACTCTGGTTCATCAAAACCAAGCGGGGTGCAGTGGTCACTCATCATGGGCGAGCACTCGGGCTCAGGACCCCGCTGATTGCCTCTCCTCTGTGGCTCGCGCTGCTTCTTGCCTGGCAAGGTACATCAGGCATGAGGAAGCGGCGGAATTGCTGCGCTGACCTGAATGACGAGGGTCCAAGCTTTGCCAAGCCAAGCAGCGCACAACTCTGTGTGAAGAGTAAACAGAGCGTTCAGTGCCTCTCTCGAGCTTTGAGCTGTTGATCCTCCATTGAGCTTGCATGTCCTGAGACGATGGGCAAGGGCTAAATGTGCACTATTTCGGGCAATTGAAGGGCAGCTGAGTCGCTTCGACATATCGAGGGCATTGCATTGCGACATGCATGCAGAAATCCAAGCACACAAGTTGGTCAATCCCACATTACAAACCACATTGACTTCCGGGGGCCCTCCCTGTAATTTTGTCCCAACAACGCTACTCGATGGCCAGCTTGCTGCCTTGGACCAACATCTTAAGGTCAAATCAGTGCTCAATCAAATCCATTCGGTGCTATTCTACGCTTCGGTCACATTGCAGCTCGAGCAGCTTGCAGCTGTCAGCTCCATCGTAGCTTGGTGCTTCTGCTGTGCCACCTTTTTGGGGCCAATAGATCGAGGACCTACCCGGACCAACTGACTGCCGCGGGGCTTGCGAACCCTACCAGCCAACATGCTCAAACCAGCCTGGAACTGCAAGGCTCATTACCTACCATGCACTCCTTGGTGAGATAAGCATTTGATCCAACAGCGTAGGGAGTAGGGACCAAGCTTAACTTTGACCCGTGATTGACAATGGTAGAACCCTGCTTCTGCCAACCGCTGAACCTTTGGGAGAGTGGTCGCAGGTCAAAGCACCAACCCAACCAACAAGGGCTGTCTGCCAAGTGTCATGATTGTCATGGCATCTCAAAGCCGAGGAACCAACGGTCATGTGATGGCATGTTGCGAGCGCATGCAACGTCACACCTGTCATCCATGCTGTCATTCAAATCCTTTCTCAGGGGACAATGACTCAACTGCCCATGGTGAGAGACAGGCTCCTTTGCTCTGGCTGTCCTCTTTCACAGGAGCCATGGGCTCAAGTAAACAAATGGGCATGATCTGAAACAGGGACGCTGTTGAATGGCAAAAGCCTCAGATGCGCGACCAACCTGCCTCCAATGCTGTTGCCAACGTGCTCTTGGCCTTGTGCTCTGCTGCGGTGAGTTCCTCAGCTGTTGCAGCGATGTTGGGACAGCGGGTTTTAACCCCAATACCTAATCGGACAAATCGGCATGCAAAGCAAGCAAGGTAGACAGGAATAGAAATGCACCAAGAAAAACAGAAGAAAAACACAACACCCATTGCTGTAGAAGACCTCACTACATGCGATGGAAGCAGTGGCTACCAAGCCGAGGCACTGCCTCGAGCACAGAGCAACGGGCAGCCAAGTCGGCATTATCCTTGGACTTTTCCAGCAGTGCGTCACTATACCTGCCACACAAATAATTCATCTTGCCCTGGAGCGGTCCACATTTTTTCAGGGTTCCAACTGCAAACCTCTGGGCCTGCCAAGAGAAATTACGGGAAATTGACCAACATCTCGCTGCTTCAAACATGCCTCACAATACATGAAGGAGGGACCATATGCGGATAAAACATGGATTCAACCAGGCGCAAGCTTGACAAGCTAACATGGATTCGGCCCACGCCCTGCCTGGCTTCCAGGTCTGACCGGTGTCTGTCCAGGGCTTTTTGGATCCTCGGAGTGCCCACATGTCAAGCTCTCATGTGGACTGTGCCGTAGGTGTGGATCCCAAAAGCCTGCACTAAGTGTTCCCCGCTCCATCGTATATCGCAAGAGGCACGCGGGCACGCAACAAAAACAAGGTTACATGATATCTACACGACACATGGGCAAAGTACCGAAGTACCAACGCTGTCAAACCAAAGCCTTACATCACAGCAGCTTCTGCTCGGAGAGGTGTAGAGCCAATCGGTGCTTTTGCTCCGTTGCATGGAGCGCTGCCTCCCGGCCTCAGAGGCAGGGCGGGCTGCCCTTTACCCGGCACCAATGCCGAGGAGCTTCCAGGTCTAGAAATCGATCATCCGGGGTAGTTGGGTTTCCCACTCTGCGTGCAACAAAAACGTGCGTTGCAAGCGCAACTCCTACAGCTGGCACATGCTGAGCCAGAATAAGCATCACTTTGATACATTTCACTGCCTGTGATGAAAGGACTCCCGAAGGAGCCTCCCCCGAATGCTATCTTGCACCATGTTCCCATCTCGCCTTTGTTCCTTGCGACTTGGGGAAGTCAAGAAAGCCTTCAATTCCCCTGCTGTAGCTGGATCTGTGGGCGCACCAGGGCCTAAGCCATTTCATTCCCAACAAATCAGACATAGCAGCGAAAACAAAACAATCAGCCGAAAACAGGGCTCCTTAAAAGATACATTTTGCCAATTTGAAACATGGCTTTTTCCACCAAAAAAAAGGACACCACCATTTAAGGCCATGTTCAGGTGTACAATGTAAGGATCCCTGGAAAACCAAGACACAAAGTGAACACGACAAACAAACTGTAGCAGCGAGAAGGCATAGAACAAGTGCTGGGGCATCGATTCTGCCGAGCTGCTCTGTGTTGAAAGCTCCTCCTGCTGCTCAGCCTTCTGCAGGGCGACGCGGCATTCCAATTGCGCGGCCTCCTGCCTCAGAGCTCCCCAAGTGACTCGGAGATTGGATCAACACCTGGCAACCTGACGTCTAAAGAGCCGGGCCAAGGGAGCTCCAATGCGCATCATACTTGCCCATGGCCCATCCTATGTGCATCCAGTGCTTGGGCAAAGGAGCTTGAGATGGCCCCCCTGCCATCTACAAGCCCTTGGGTTGATGCAAATGACCCCTTTCAATTTGCAAATGGATGCCATGCGGAACAGGGGCAAAGCATTCTTGCCCATCGGCCAATCATGGCCCTCGCTTCTAGAACAGAAATTGGCAATCAACACCGTCAACACCCACCTATGAGCATGCAAGCAGAAACAAATAGGCAAGTTTCCTTTTCTATCCCAGTTGCAGCACTTGCCGCTGGATTATCTCCGACTTGAACTGGTGCTGCGTCTCTTGCTCTGCCGCGCGCCGAGCGGCGTCCAGCTGACCTGGCTGAAAAGGCGCCGAGCAAAGAAGCAAGCCCCAGAGACCAACGACGCAGCAAATGGGTGCCAAGTCGATAGCCAGCTTGCGAATAGTCAACAATTCAGCAGGATATGCATGCTGCAAAGCTCATCACATCTGGCGGCTCAATTGCGCGGACCAGTCATCTCAAATCGTGCACGCAACTCAGTCTGGTTCAACCTCGACCTTTTCACTGGGCAATGGACCTTCTGTCTCATGGCTGAAAAAGAGTTGGTTGCTTCGTGCATGATGGCAACATGACCTCCAAATCGGTGGGCAGCCCTGGCCATTCTACGTAGGCCTTCTCAAAAGGATTAGGCCAGCTTGCCGCTACTTCCCAAGTCTTGAGGGAGCGAACCTTCCAAGAAACCGGCAACCTGAGGGGCTTTCTGAAAAGAATCACAGGCAAATGTGCCACATATGTCAACCTGCTAGAACTTCAAGGCTGAAGCTCAACTCAAGCTGCGTCCTTCAAAAGTTTACTGGAATAGCACCGCTAGAGTCGTTGTTCAACTTAAACTCAAGCATAGGTAAAGTCCTAGATGCCTTCTAAGAGTTCTGCCTAGCAAGCCCCAGCCTCCACGCTGCTTGGACAGGATTTCGTGCTCTTGAGCAGTCGCGGTCCGCAGATCCTCCATTTCAGCGCTCCTCAAATAGCATTTTGTTTGCTACAAATCCACTTTGTCTGCCGCATGTCAGCAAGCAACTGCGCGTCTATTTGCATCAATTTACAGCTTCAACACAATTACTTGGCAACAATAAGGACATGGACCCTCTCAAGCACAGCGAGCTCTAAATGAGTAAGGCATATGCAAAGAAGGCTGCTGCAGGGCACGAAACACACTGCCACTCTCTCGGAAACGAGGAAAGGGATACGCTTACGCACTTGCACGATTGGCGAGCTGACAGCATCAATCCCTCTACTAACTCTGCAAAAAAATAAATAAGCAGAAGCCCAAACTCTTGCCCACGTGCAACCAAAGGACTAGGAGGTAGGGTTCACCTATGTTCACCTTCTGCCTTGAATCAACATGGATCAAACTAAGGAGGCACAACGCCAAAAGGCCTTCGCCAATCGGAAAACCAGGCTCCAAGCACCAGCGCCGGATGCAGCGGAGTGGCCATCGTGCTTCTGCCAGCTGCTCGCGTTGTGCCAGGATCTCTTCGCTCCTTTCCAAGCTCGCCTTGGCCCGGGAGCTACGGGTCAGCAAAACGGCTGACAAGGAGCCCTGCAGAAGCCCCTGTGCTCTATCGACTGAGGCGACCACCATTTCCGCCTTCTGCCTTGGATACGCCGCTGACAAGGAAACCTGGCCAAAAGCATAAAAACCAATGCTCCGTTAAAAACTCGGTTGAAGTCCAAGCGGGTGTTGATCAAACCTTTTTGAAGGACCTTTGCCCATTTGGAAACGCCGGGGGCTACATGCTCTCGGACCAACAGCCATGCATTTTTCCTTGGCTCACCCACCAATTCAGCCAAAGCTCCGTTCGATGACCATCTGCATCTGAGCCAGCGCTGCTTGGTGTCGCTTTTCCTTGGCCAAGGAAAGGGTCTAGTATGGGCCTGTAGGCCGACAGGAGCTGTGGTATTACCCCAAGTTCAATTACATCCTGTTGGGCAGGTGTTCAAACTCAGTACTGCACCTTCTTCACAAAAGTGTGCACTTTTCTTTGTGCACTTTTCTTGGCGTTTCTTGGTGCGCTGTCTGTTCCCTGCCCGTTGTCCATTCAATTCCCCGGCACAATGGCAATGTCTGCCCGTCCCCCTAGCACTGTGCCTACAACACCAGGAGGGAGACGCCATTGACTTGGAGACACTGGAGAAACACAAGCTGAGACACCTCAATGCAGTTTTCTGAAACCCTGATCCCAACGCCAATGGCCATCCGTGCTATGGGCAGTTCACAACCTGAGAAACAAACTGACCTGCATCAATTCCCCTGTGGGCCAACGCATGGCCATTGTCGTTGACGCGCAGGTGGTATGTGGCTAGGTCCCTCCAAATGATGTGCTTTCGGCTTGTCGAAACTGGTCCGCCTTTCGGCAGTTGCACAGTCCCCCAACAGGAACCTCCTCCCAAAATGGCGGTCTTTGAGGGTTGTGTCCGCGTGCTTTTCTTCTTTGTTTTTGGCTGGGAGTTCCATGATAACCTGCCTGGTGGTGACATGATTGTGGTGGGGGTGCCATTTTCGATCCCGCTTCTGGTCGCATCCTCCGATCGAGGCCACCCTCTCTCTGAGCCAAAGCGCCGCCTCATCCACGTAGCGCGCCTCCAGCTCCAAGCGGTGCTTCTCCAGCGCCCGCTGGATCTTCTGCTCAGCGCCCTTCAGCCTGTGTGTTCTCTCTCTCTCTCTCTCTCTGCCGGTTGAAGCTAAGATGCATCTCTTTCTTCGGATTCTGACATCTAAAATGTCTTTCTGGTTTTGTCGACTTGTTTTGTTTCTCAAGAGTCCTGGTCTCTTTCTTCTCGCGTTTGACATCTCAAAGGTGGAGAATCTGGTGCAACCACACACTCACAACAGCGCAGCAGCACCCAATTGGTGGTTTGATGTATCTGGCATACATGAGCGTGGGTCATGTTGCCTTGTGACGAAGATTGCACACACAAAAGCAGGTGGCTACAGCTCTACCAGTCCAAACGTGACTGTTTGTTGAGATGCCTGAAGAATGACTGGAGTTGTCATTGGCAAGCATGCCAATCGTACTGGCAATGGTTCCGGCAATAACTTTGCACATTCGTGGGAGGTCGGTGCCCAACAATTGCAGTAACTTGGGAGCAACCTACTGGGATGCTTCTGACGTAGTATTAAATGGCAATCGGCCGGCAAACAAACAAACCAAGGTCTTGAATCGCGGCTTTAAGTGAGCGTTGACCCAGGAATGAATTGTGGCGAACTTGACCTTGCACACCTCAGGCATCTCGACACTCAGCCCCCAAGTTAAGTCTTTTACGTGCTTCCTGGGACATGGTGCTCGAAAGGTCATGGAGCCTGAGCTGGATCATGGCCCCAAATAACCGACAAAAGTGGTCCCCGAACAAGGGTCTACTGAAAGCTTGCCAAAAGGTCCACGAGAAAATGACCGAACTAGCTGACTGATCACATTCGCACAGGCTGCATTGTAACAACGCGGCATATCACGGCATTCAACCAAATCCTGCGATGTTTCTACTGAAGCCCCCTCATTGTCTGTTTTGCCAGGCTGCGCTAGCTGATGCTTCTGCTCCATGGCTTGAAGTGCTGACTGGTGCCGCTGGAATACCTGAGGTATGCTGCCCGGCACTGCACGAAGCAAGATGTCCATGTTACCAGCGCCCACACAAAGGAAAGTCACAATCTCGGCTCGTTTAACCGGTAACAATTTCCAAAAGCTCTCCCAAGCAGTGGCTACAAACAGAGTAGACCTCATCCTGGAATCAAGGGGTTCACGGACTAACCCTGCAGCCATGCTAAGCTTGTGGCAAGTGTAGAGTGTGGCAGGTCCGACATTCATTGGAGCGGGTGGGGCGCATGCCCAAGATGCCAAGGACTCATTGTTGAAACTACGAACCACTCCAACCTTGGTTCTGGCTCACACCCTTGCGTTGCCACTGTCAATGTCACCCCTCAGTAGGAGGCCTTCTTGTATCCACAAGCAGCTGACAAACTAACAGGCCCTGTGCTCCAAAAGCTGCAAAAAGTGATGAGCGCCCTGCTCCCCGCCTGCCGAACAGCACATCAACCAAGCAACCCGGATTCAGCAACAGCCAAACAACTTTTCATGATTAGACTTGTGCCCAGTTATAGAATGCATATTCCATAGTTTGCTTCCCTTTGAGTCCCTTGGCTCCGGAGCCAAGGGGCGAAGGCCTCGCTCTGCTCCGCCTCCTGCGCCTCCGCCCGCAGACGGTCCTCGCTGAGGCGCTGGCGCAAAGCCATGGCCTCCAGCGAGGCCTGAGCTGCGTGGGAAGCCGACGAGTAGGGCGGCCCTACCGCTGCAAGTGGACAGGCCACCAACATCCGCATGTCCACCGGAAATCAAACGGACCAACAAAAAATGTAGTGACCATTTAGTGGAACGGACCATTGCCGAAGCCTCCGGCATGCTTCAGTTCAAATGCAAGCAACGAGGCAAGATGGCAAAGCTCCCTCATGTGCTCAAAGAAACTCGCACTCCTGCGCTGCTCGCGGCTTCACGAGCCTCGTACTTTCTTGCCTCTTGCTGACACTTCTCCTGGCGCTCAAATCAGTTCAGCGCAACTCACATGATAGCACTGTGCAACACCTTTACCTGACCAATTATCGCAATCCTTCTGCATGGTGCCATATTACTTATTATGGTGCCAGTAAGTTCCTCTCGGCCCTCTGCTTCCCCTCTCCTCCTCTCCTATCGCTTTCTTATCCCTCTATCGCTTCTGAGTTGTGCACTTCTTCTTCTTGTTCTGCTAGCTGCGCATGGCTGTCATTGCTTGCTTGTCTGCTTAACATGTCTTAGATATTGGTTTGTTGGTCAGTTTGTCTGTCAGTCATTTGATCAGTCCGTTTGTCAGTCAGTCAGTTTGTCTCACGGGAAGGTCATAGCTATGTCCGGGGATTGCTTGTTTCTTCAACTCCGTGCTGCTTGCTTTGGTCAGGCTAGCCACGCGCGGACTACCCAACGGCCAAATGGAAAGGGTGTTCGAAACAACACGTCCTTCCATACCATGTGCACACTTTCGGTGGGGTTTGCGGCTACGTTTTGTTCCGACACCATGTGCACAGTTTGGGGTAATTGCACCTACGTTTTGTTCAGACATAAGGGCCCCATAGGGGTATGATACCCTCAGACTAAACCTGAAACAAAAGGGCCACATGGAGAATCTAGACGCTATGTCTGTGGAGCTCAGCTCCCAATTTCCAGCGCCCGGTGCCGGTCTCCGCGGTCGGCCTCAGCTTCCAGGGCGGTCTGCGCCTCTGCGAGGCCCAGCTTCGCCTCGATGGCCTCCGAGGCGTCGAGGCGCCGCTGCGTGGCCGCCCCGTACCTACGGGGCCCCCGTGCTCCCGTGCCGCACCGTGGGACGGGAGGTGAGGGGAAGTCACATGGGCCCTCTCTTCCCCCTTGCTTCGGATCAAGGAAAGGTCTGGAAAGCTTTGAGCTGGCTTCTGAGTGGGGGATCAGCATTAACCAAGGTCAACCTGGAAGTTACTCGTCGAAGAGACCTATTTGGTGTCTCTTTCTTGCAGATGTGTCATTTCTTGAATCTTGTGTAAATCGAATGGAAAGGTTCCTTGAGAACCTCTTAACCCAACCTCCTGTGGTCGACTCTTCATCATCAATCGTGCCTTTGGAAGTTCTAAAGAACATATAATATGCCGTGGTAGCCAGCCTCATTTCAACACCTAGGTCCAAGCCGCAGAAACATGACACTCGCGCCTATGCTCTGCTTCTTTGAGCTCCACGACTCGTTTCTCCAGCGCCTCCTGAGGTTGCACATGTCCTGTTGCCGGACTTCCTTCCCGGCCAAAGCGACCCTTACAACACTCCAGGTCTTGGAGAGCAGAACGAAGGAACAGTTCGAACTATGCTCGGGATCTCCGTGGCCAGACATGGCAACAGAAAAGCTGGAATACACCCCTGCCCCCCATCCTGACCCTTCACTTGCACTCCAGTGCCTCATACTTCAGTCCAGAGGAGTCAAGTGCTGCATTGTGCTCTTCCAATGCCAGCTTGTAGTTGGCCCTGCAAGGGCAAGCATGAGATACCCAGATTGTCCGACAAGTCCACTGACAAAGGTAGGTCACTCTCGGACTGAAGCGCCAAGCAGTTTTGTGAACCGCAGTGGGGAATCCCAAAACATGCGCCTGGTTTGCTCCAACTCCGACTTGTTGCGCTCCATCTGGGCGACGGCCACGTAGCGAATCCATGCCTGAGCCGTGGAACTTGACCCCCAGTTGAAGCTTCACTGACTAAGCTCAGTGACAGCTGCATACTTCAACACAGTGCTTCCTTTCATCCATTCCCACCTCACGTTGGATCATGGTTCACAAATAAAAAATACATGCCTCCCTTTCTGCTGAAAAGGCGTGTCCGCTTTGAGACCGCGCATCAAGAGCACGCAAATCAAACGGTGTCCAAGGTTGGGCCACGTGCCCTCCACACATCTTACAATCGCTAACCTTGAAGTCAACTTGGCCTCCGTTGAACCATCTGTCCACAAGATTTGATGGGCTGCAAGTACCGTCCGAAGACCCCACTAAAAGGTCCCGTAGACAAAGCACACACACACACACACGAATCCAGGCACTCCCAGCAGCTTTCATGGGGGTTTGCCCTGATGAAGGGATTCACTGAGATGTTTGGTCTGCCCAACCTGGCTTTCATTGAACTGGATATCCTCCGGGGCCGGATTGGGATGAAGACAAACTCGCGCGCCACCAACCTGGGCTGCTCTCTCCGAGGGCCGGGCAGCCATGGAGTTGTGCAAATACAGCGAGGTATCGAAGTCCTCTAAGTACGCCGCGCACCTGGCACGCGCAAAGCGAGAGGCCAACGCGGCACCAAATTAAATGCTCTGCCAATGATCCCGAAAACCAAAAGGTCCGATCTTCCAGGCTCGGGATGGTTTTGGGGGAGAGTAACCAGGCCTTTTTCCCCGGCCCTTGCCCTGCCCGTCTGCCGAAGCCACGACGAGCACGTGCAACACCCAAAAAATGAACGACTCACCGGCGGATCGATCGCCGAACTCCCGCTGCCGGGCAGTCATCGCCTCGCCGCCATCATCTCCGGCCGCTTCTTCGCCTCTTGGAGCCCCTGATCCAAAGCCGCAGCCACTGCCTGCGGTGAGGGAAGTTCGGAGACGATGCAAATGGGGTTGCCAGGGGGTTTCCCCATGAACACGCCCCAATTTGAACCTCTTCATGCCCGAAGAAGTTTGCTAAGGGTTGACTTGTTAGGCCCTGAAGGTGCTACCCACGCTTCTGTTGGAGTGTTGAAAGTGGCGGCAGAGGGAATCCCCTGGTGGGCTGTAGGACCTGCTGGTGCCTATTTTCCCGAAAACTCACAGAAACATACCTAGCCTATCATTATTTATCATGCGGGGCACAGGGGGGCACTGTATGAATGGACCATGGCAAAGCCGCTGACACGGACCGCCTCACGAGTCATAGACACCCAGGCAAACCACGAAGCACAAAGGCAGAGCGGTATCAGCACTCTCTCAGCAGCAGCAGACTGCATCTCCTCACGTCCAGGGAATGGCTTTGGTTGCTTGGCACGGTCTCTGCTTCATGAATGTTTCAAACCATTGAAGTCACTCTAGTCTATTCTGACTTGCCAATTGACAGCTGCACTGAATTGACAGCTGCACTAAATTGACAGCTGCACTGTTTTGACTTGATCTATCTCGGCCCACCATTCATATCAACTGTCGTGCGCGTCCAAATTCAAAAACAAAACCGGACAACAGCTATTAACTTGTAAGAAACTTCGAAAGGTGTCTGAGCATCAGGGTTTCCTTGACGGATCTGCCGGGTTGCCTTATGAGGCATCAGGGGGAAACTTGCCACCTGCCCAGGGTCTCCCAACAGATCTGGCGCTTCGCAGGCCAAGGCTCCGTGCAGCGAGAGAGCTGTAGGTTGGCATGCTCCGCGGAGCGGGAGGCGCTGGCCTCTCAGTCCGTCTCTCCATTTGGGGCAAATGGGTCGCTGCTCGTTTTCTTTTTGGGGGGGGTTACCCTCCCAGCAGTTCACATGGAACCTGACGTTCGGGGGCTCCTGGAAGCCCATTTTCCGTTTTGAAGGGACCCCCTGTCAGGGTATCACTTTTGGTTGGCTTTAAAGGGAAACCAACAGAAAACCAACCATGGGAGGCCCCTCCAAAAGACACACCCACAGGTTGCAATGTGCAGGGTTGAAATGGGAATCTCTTGGACGGTTTTCGGGGCAAACCCAAAACACGCCAAACATTGACATGTCCTGTGTTTGTGTCTTTGCTTTGGGGAAGGGGGCCCGCAATGTAACCAAAGCTTTAGAAATCTGCCAGGATTTCCTGCAACTGGCCCCTGTTTAAGCACAAGTTTCTCACCTGCATAACCTCCAATGCTAACAAAAACAAACACACAAATCCCATACAAATTCCGAGGCCTGGACAGAAGCAACACTTGCACCGTCCAACCAACCAAACATCCAAAAAGTTCCCAAACCAATGGACCTCATGCTTTTGCCGCCGCAACGTCGCCAGCTTCTCTGGCCTGCAAAGCGCTCATGGCCCCACGTGCCGTTCGGCATCGTCCTGCCTTAGCAAAAGCAATGCCAGACCTGCTGATCGCACAGGGGTCAGCTGAAAGGGTTGAACGTGGGAGCAAGAATATAACAGCTTCCAACATGCGATTACGAGCCAAAAGGCAAGCAACAGCTTTGTGGTCTAGCTTGTTTTTTGGGAAAGCAGCTGCAATTATGAGTTACTTTGCCCTGCAAAAACTGGAAATCCTGAAGTATTGTTTTATCCGTTGCCAACATTGTCTGATTGGGGCTGATTCTTGTTTGCCATTGTGTTCTAACGCGCATACACGGGGTGGGTGTTTTACTCTGTAGCTGCTGGGCACGCATCACGCTCCAAAACCGAATGGGGGTCGTGACTGTCTTGCGCTGTGCTGCGTGATGGTCCACAAGGTGCTTTGCTTCGATGCTGTTTGCCACGTTTCAAACTCACAATCAAGAAGTGTGTCAAAGTACGCCCGTCCTTTCAGCCAAAATTTCAATCTCTAGGCAAGAGTCGGAGCCACACGGGAAAGATAAACGTCCCCGGGCTGATCAGCTGAGCAGCTGAGCGTCGTAGCCACCCAGTTTTTTCCACGCGTTGAGGGGGGGACGGGGGGGGGATCGGGGGGGAGGGACCCGAAGGAGGGGGGGGGGCCGGGAGAGACTGGGGGGGGGGACTGAGACTGGGGTGGGGGGACTGGGGGACCGGGTGGGACTGGAAAGGAGCCGGGGCCTTGAAAACGTGTTTCTGCATGGATTTAGTCATTTTTGATGTTTTTTCTTCATTGTTTGTCGTTTTCCTGTTATGTTTTTGTCATTTGTTTGTCATGTTTTTTCTTCATTTTTTGTCCGTGTCTGGGAGACTTGCATTTGTTTGTCATTTGCTTGTCATTCTTTGGTCTTTGTCTGGGAGACTTGCCTTTTGTTTGTCAGTTTTTGTCATTTTCGTACTTCTGGTCCTTGTCTGGGAGGCTCGCACGCTTATTGCATGTTGTTATGTAGCTTGTCATTTTACGTGCCTTCTCTGCGAAATATCTCTACGCTGACTCTCTCTTCACAGGTGTCTCTGCACGCGCCCTCTGCGTAATGTTTCTGTGTGAGCTCTTTCCAATGCTTTTGGTGGAAACAACCACAAACGAAAGCTTGATTGAACTGGCGAACAGCCTTTGGATTTCCAACCATTTCACCCCCCGCTCATCCCTGCAGACTTTCAGACCCTAGAAAGGGGGCAGAACCTTTCTGGAAACCTGCGTGCTCTCCTAGGCTCTACAAAGTTGCCTGTAACGTCAAACAGAATGACCAAAAAAATACGACAAAGGCCAATGACAAAAAAAAAAACGACAAACAAGTGACAAAAAATACTTGAGCGACATCAGGACCTGCAGGAAAGAAACTCATAAAGCTGCAATTTGAATCACGTTTCAAGTTTCAAATGAGGCAAGGCATGCTGCCTGCAATGCCCAATTCACCCACCGTGCAGGGACACACTGATGAAGCCCCCTCGCATGCCACATCGCATCCAACAGGAGTCACCAGGAGAAGTCACAACCAAGCTTTACATCTCCAAACGTCAGGACTAAGCCTCAGAAATCGAAGGCTAGTTTAGTTCAAGGATCACCTTATGCCCATTCTCAACCGCCTGCAAGCTGGGCATCCGGGCCCAAAACCACCACAGCGCCAGCAGTGTCCACGGGGGCTGCGCTTCCTGCTGCGCCTTGGCCGCCCTGGCGCAAAGCTCCAGGCCATCGTCCCGCAGCAAAATGGCCTCCTCCATCACCTCACGAAGAGATGGCCGTGGTTGTCAAAACCAATGCTCTCTTCTTCATTTTTGTTGGGGGTGGGGGGTAGGTGAGGTCACCACCCATTTCAGAACCTATTTTAGTGGGGATTGGGATGTTCACTGGGGGGCACGGGATTTTGACCAATGGCCACATTGGGCCAAAAGGTCGGTGTTGGGCAACTGAGCTTGGCCCAGTTGAGTGTGCGGCTCCACTCATGCATGCCCTGGCATGCGCGGCAAAACATGAGAAATACACCTTGCAAGTGAAGAAAGCAGAGCAACCAAGGGCCCCTCTTCTCCAGAGAAGGAAAAACAAACACGGACAAAGGGCACCACTCAACAACCACGTAGGACCAACTAAACCCTATGGCTTGAGTGAATGGCAAAACTTGAGTGACCTGGAAGTTGTCTTGGATGCCCAAGTGAGGTTGCAACGGTTTGCCAAGAATCAGATACAGTTAGTCACAGTTGGTGCAAAAAGCGCGGCTTTCTAAGAGCTGGTTGACCGTGCAGCTGTGGAGTGCAGCCCAGTGGCACGAAATGCCCGGGTCTTGGCGGTCTCGTAGCTCCATGCTTGCCATATCCTCAAGGTCCATTCCGTGAGCTCGGCGTCGGACCTGCCAAACCCAAAGCTTCTGTGTGACATGCTGCCACGAACAATTGACCCACCACTTGTTCCATCTCATGTCTGCACCAGTGCCAAAGCACCCACGTACAAGGCCACATCCGGCCTACCAACTAACACCAACTCACTGCGACGGCGGGGAAAGGCTCTGAGGCCACATCGCTGTCACCAGGAGGAGCCCAGCACAAGTTGCAGCTGGCCAGTTTGCACATCGTGAAATGTTTGTTTGTTAATAGCCCCACCTGCTCACACCCCCATTGCACCTGCGATTGAACAGCATCCTGTCCAGCTTCGTGCGCAGTCGGCCGGTGTTTGCCTTGGCAAAGGCATCTTGAGATTTCATGCAGCTCATCTACTGACAAAGACGGTCCACCCCACACGAATTCGCGTTTTGACTGCTGCTGCTGCTGCTGCTGCTGCTGCTGCGGCTGCTGCGGGTGCTGCTATGTTGTCGTTGCCTGTGCTGGTGCCCACGTTGCGCTTGCGGTTACTGTCACTGTTATTGATTGTCGTTGCTATGTTGTTGCTGCTGCTGTTGGTGGCGCTGCGGCAGTGCTGGTGGTGGTGGCGGTGGCGGTGGCGGTGGCGGTGGCGGTGGCGGTGGTGTGTGGTGTCAGCGCCATGTTTTTCCGTTCGCACTTGCAGCAATCAGCGCATTCAACACTTTCCAATGAAGGACCTTGGCTGCCAAGATCCGTAAAGCCCAGTGGCTGCCTCTCGGAACCAGACTTGCACATGCTGCTGCAAGGACGAGTCACCTTAGCAGGAACTCAAGTATCACCAAATCACTGGCGCTCATGCCAAATATATCAAAACCAAACAACAGATGTCAGCAAGCACTATGGCCAGCAGGCGGTGGCATGGCCTAGAGAGGTGTGCAACCATGTGGCACAAAACGCAGCCTTTGTTCCACACGATGCTGCTTAGAGATATCGAAATGGTGCTGCCACACCATTGCTTAATTGATACCTTGGCAAGAAGTCCCTGCCCTTGACATGTCTATGTCAAAAGGCGCGCCCCCGCAGCTTAGGTCCGGCCAAAACCAGACTCTCACGTCCAAAGCTATTGCTTCTTCAAGAATCTCCTAAGATTGCTCTGGGATTGGGCGCCTTTCCTCGGGGGTCCCTCGCAAACTTATTGGGTACCCCACCTCGAGTTCTCTCATTCTGCCTCCGGCCTGGCGAGCTCGTGATGAACAGGCCGCCCCAGCGGGACCTCCTCGCCCGCCGCCGGCACGCGCCCGAGACCACGTGGAGCTGCCACTGCTGCAGGACAGAGCCTGTCCAAGTCTTGGGCTGTCACGGGCCCGAAGCTGGCAGCCAGTTCTCCAACCCTCAAGCAATCAACTGCACAACTGCATGGCAACTGCTCTTGAACTAGAGGAAACTGATAGAAGATGCTTGGTGAAGTCACAGTGGAGGCCTACTTGCAGGATAACGAGCACGTCACGATGATTCGAATCGCAAGGCTCTGACACGTGCTCTGTGTAACAACACAAGTGACGAAATCGTAGTGATTTAGCGCCCTGGCGCTAACTAAACTCCCTGTGGTGACACGCGTGGCACTGCGATGTTACTCCGTCAGCCGGCCCTGCCCTGGTAGGATGCACTCTGCATCTGTTTGCCTTTCACGTTGGACAGGTTAGTGATGCGGGCAAGTTGTTTTGCCTTAAATCGTGAAGCAAGTTGGCCTGGCTCTCAATTCCTTCTCTTGAAGGTCTGAATTTTTGTTGACAGCACACAGGATTCGCAACCTTTCCACTGTTTAGAGTGGATATGTTCATTGGTTGACCACACCGAGTACCGATACCAACAAGGACAACAGCGCAGCATCACTAAAACTGCAGAAGCCTAGTCGTACTAGTTATGTACTCAACCCGTGAGGCCCGTTCCTGGCAAACTCAGCGGAACCAGGATGTCCCATTACGATTCAAGCCGAAGGCAAGTGTCAAAAGCACATCAGCAACAAGCAAGTGCAACATGCCTTCAATAGAGAAGTCACATCATAATCTCTTGGAAGAGTGGACCCTTGAAAAAATCGACGCCAGCGCCCAGGGGCTGTGTATCGCCATGTGTCACATAAGATTTGAGACAAGGTGCCCATAGTGCACCAGGGCCCTGCCGCCGACGGCATGTTTGCCAAGCGCTGCTGGCAGCTTTTGACACAGCGCAGGCTGTGCCACTGCCGAAACCAGCGCCGCGCAATGAACCATCGCCCCTGGAGCAAATGATTCGAATGGTTGGAGCAGGGTCTGCCGGCAGGAATGGTTAGAGTGCCGATGAATTGGTGGGTGGAAGTGCCAACTGATACGCGCTCAGGCACCAGCGCGGCCGCCCGAACAACAAGAACCGCCAATAGAAGAAGGGGAATTTCTGATTGAGGATCCCTTCTGTAGGCGGTCAGCTGTGCAATATTCGCTGAACAAAAGACGGTAGAAGGATGCTTGCAACATCCCACCAACCAACAAACCAAACACGCAAGCAATCAAGCATACAAGCGAACATGCTGGTCCAGTCACTGCATCCCTCCTTGCGTGAGCCGTAGCTGAAGTTCTCGGGGACACTTAACCGTCTCAGCCACATGGTGTGATTTGCAAGCATGTGTGCCGCCGCATTGCTGACACTACCACTCCCCACCAACATGGAACTCCAGATGTCGCTCAAATTGTCAAACAGGGCCAACTGTCGCAAACTTGTCCTACGTCACCGTCTCTGCGAGCTGCGAAACGTCTGAGACCCCACACCTCCAGTGGCCATGGTAAAAAGGGCTCCTTTTTCGTAGTTTATGCACAGGCAACCCCTGATTCGCGGAATGGTTCGAGGGTGTGGTTCGGGCGTATGGTTTCGAGACTTGTCGACACTTCCACCTTTTGCCAACAGCCGCGCAGACCTCAAAACGATGCACGCTCAAGTGGCTGTGGGTCAAAACCCCGTACCCCCAGTGAAAACCCAATCCCCACTAAAATAGACAAAAATGTTTGGTGCACCTACCAAGATGGTACCATTGGTTTTGACAACCACGGCCAAGTCTTGCAAATGGCGGGTCTCTGGCCTCCTCGCCACGGCCTTTCCCCAGAAACTCAGCCATAAGGGCACGGCGCTCTGCATCTGCGTCTGCGTCCCGCGCTTCCTGCCTGCTCGGCCCAAACGGCCCATAGGTGTTCAGTCGGCCCGAAAAAGTGTGACGAAAAATGAAGCTGCAGGTCATGCCGAAACCAAAGCACGACTTGATGTCGGCTCACAGGGCGCAATCCGACTGCAAACCGGCATTTTAGTCGTTCACCAACAAGACCCTGCCTGGCCACAAGCACCTGTCGGAAGTACTCAAACCACGCGGCCGCCGACGCTTCTGCGCTCCCTTGAAACATCAGCGCCTCAGGACGAGGATGCGAGGTCCGCCCACTGAAGTGGTTGAATCATAGTTCTGCTATGAGGAGCATCTGGCTTGCCAAAGAGTTTGCTGTCCAACTCCATGGCAAGGATGCATACTTGACCTGCACTTTGCAAATCCTTGTGCCATTGTATCCCCTTCCTTGTTGGCTGTGCAGGGGTGTGGGAATTGCCCACTTCTGTTCAGACTGGCAAACATTCCCAATGACTAAGTCCTTGATTAACACAGCAAGGCTTCCCGGCATCACCAACATGAGACACGTGCCCTTGTTCCCACGACCATGCTACTGTGTGTTCGTGTGTCGGTGGTTTCCGTGTGGGGCTCAGTCGGAGTTCGGCCAGATTGGGCCTCACAGCTTTTTCTTGCAGCATCACGGCCAGCCCATCTCCTCCCCTCCCCCCAAGCCAAAAAAACAACTATTGCGGCGGAGCTGGCAAATTTCTTGGCCATGGAGTCTGCCATCTGCTGCTGTCCTCTGCGCTGCGCCCGCCACTGGAACCAGATCGCCGCGATCGCTTGGCCGCTGCTGTTGAGTGCCATGGCATACTTCTGCGCCAGGGCCTCCTGCCCAAAAGAAACATCTCTCTCTCTCTCTCTATCTCTCTCTCTTCAGTGCCATCACGCAGGTCCCAAGTTAGGAGCACTCTTGGCCCAGGCAGAGTTTGAACAATCCCAATGGACTCAATGCTTGCAACGTAGCGAGACCCAATGCAGCGGGAAAGTCAGATTTGCAAGAAGGACTTGCTTAGTGCCGAGCAAAACAAAAAAGGCTCTACTCTCGCAAGGGTCAAGCGATGCCCATGCCCCTTACAATGCGCAAAAAGCGCTCAGCGTCCTGAGCGGCGCCTCTTGGCGCTCAATGGCAATTTAGGCTGCGCCAGGAGTTTCATTGCATGACCAGCCACTCCAGGCCGAGTGACACAACACGTAAACAAATCCAGTCAACCAGTCCTGCTTCAAGAGCGAGCATCAGTTTCAACACCGAGTTTGATCTTCAACAATCGCACGCAACGTTTGCTTTCCCAGTCCGCGGTGTGCTTCCGCTGCACATGCCCACGTTGCCAGTAAAACCAGCGAGCCGCAATGGGCTTGGCAACGGCCGCATCAGCCCGTCGAACCTGGGCCACCTGGGATGGTCAAAGCATGAAGCGTGCGCCGCCGAAACGCCAACGTGTTCGATATATCATGCATCCAAACCAGCAATAAAGGATGGTCGGAAGCGCCGCCTACACAACTCATACCTGCGACTTTCAGCAACTTGCAGCATGTAATTAACTCGAATGTGGCTTTGTTGGAAGTTGCCTGGGAGTGGGTTGCTGTATGTTGCTCGCTCATGCTAGCCTTTTCAAGCATGCACCAAATCCTCAGCCGCACCTGATGCTCATGTATCTTCATCCGAAATATTAAGCTTTTAAGCATTGGCAGTTCTGACCATCACATGTAGAGTCTCAACGGAAACTTCAAGTTCAACCCATGCCTGCCGAGAAAAATGCACACCCCAGGGTGTGCATTGAGGTTTGAAAAGGCTTCACGCTTCCCTCAAAAGAAGACCACACCTGTGCAACATAATATGGCCTGCTTGGCTCAGAGCGCGCGAATGGCTTGAGCCAGCTGCCGGATCCACGCCACAACCCTCTGCCCCACATTTCCCCAACTTGCTGACCAAGAATCTGCGAAGCCAATGAATCTTGAGACATCCTTACAGCACCAACTGAGCGAATTGAGGGCAAAACACTGTGAAACACAATGATCACAAGCGCCTCAGGAGCCTCAGGCTTTGAACGGATTGTTCACTCACATGTTCAGCCTTACACACGACAGATGTCCGTTCGACAAAGGCTGCGGGCAAAGACGTGGGCCAGTTGCTGCCAAGTCGCGTATCTCTGGCGGTTGAGCTCGAACCATCGAAGGGCCCAAGTCGCGCAATGCAAATATTGACTGACCTTGCCCGATGCACCAAAACAAGTGTAGTGCACACGCACACACAGGCACACAGACAGAGACAGAGACAGAGACAGAGACAGAGGCACAAACGCAAACACAACCACAAACACACGCACACACACACACACAGTCGGCCAACAATGAATTGCTGGAATCAGGCAAGCATTATTCAATGCTTGGCTGTTGGAGGGGTCAAGGGACACGTGGTTGCGTTAGAGTGCTTCCGAAAGCTATCGACCAAATTTACAAGTTCGAAGCCAAGATGCTATGCCGCCGGGCTTTCTGGAAGCTGCATGCTGCCTGAGCTATCAAAAGTTGTGGGCATGGTGGGCTTTCAAATACTCAAAGCTACAAGCCATGTAGCCATTACCTAAGGGATCAGAGGCTCTTGTTGTTCCCAGCCTTTTGGAGCTTGGCATTTAGTTTGAACATGCCTTTGGAGCCAAAGGTAAGACCTGCTTCCCTGCATGCAGCCACTGCTTTAAGCGTGACAGGCTAAGCCCCGCAGAAGCTACATGGGAAAACAAGAACTTGCCGATTCCAGCCCCCAAACTGGCTGAACCCACAATATCACCAAGCATGATGGCGATGCTACGCATTGCAACATCCAACCGTGTATCAATTGCACGGGCAACACTCAGACTCATGGTCAGCGACAGCGGCAAAATCCAGTGGAGCTTGGACTTTTGCCCACTGCGTGCAACATGCCTGAGGCCAGCGGGTCAAAGAAAACTGCGCCCCGCTAAAGAGCGCGTATTCAGAGCATCCAGCGCACCTAGCTCCTCAGAAAACCGCCCAGCGCCCATTCCAGCGCATCGTTGGGAAAAATTGAGCGGCACCCGCCCAAACACATGTGCCAGGCCGATCTTGCACTCCAGGCACGCTTGCTTTGGCAAAGTGCCCGTGCACAAATCGCCTGCTGGTTGCAAGCGCTCCTCAGTACACCTCTACGTGATAGCGATCAGCCTTCTTCATGGCCTTGGCAAACTCTGCCCACACAACGCCGTTCTTCTCCGCCAGGGGGCCAAAACACTCGGCCATGCCGGCCTCCATGCCCTTGAGGCCGCACATGTAGACGTGGGTCTTCTCGTCCTGCATGAGGTCCCAAAGCTCCTCCGCGTACTCGGCCATCTTGGTCTGAATGTACATCTTCTGGCCCGCAGCATTCTTGTCCTCGCGGCTCACTGCGTAGTCGTACTTGAACTGGTCCGGGTAGCTCTTCTTGTACGCCTGGTGCTCGTCGTCGTACAGCAGGCTCTTGGAGTAGGGCACGCCCATGAAGAGCCACGCCAGGCCCTTGAACTTGCGGCCATCGCCGCTGGCGCCGGCGTCGTCGTGGAACAGGAGACGGCAGTAGGAGCGCATGGGTGCAATGCCAGTCCCGGTGGCCAACATGATGATGTTTGCCTCCGGGTCCTCTGGCAACAGCATTTCTGCCCCAGTGGGTCCGGTGATGAGGACGTCATCTCCTGGGGTCATATCGCAAATGTGGTTGGAGCACACGCCGCGGTAGACCTGGTTGTCTGGGAAGCCCGTGCCTGCCTTGTCGGGCTTGTCCTCGCCCTTCTCTCGGTTGGAAAACTTGCCATCCAACTCCACCACGCGCTTCACGCACAGCGACACAGTCTTAGAGTTCTGGTTGTCGCCCACGGCCGAGGACGCAATGGAGTACAAGCGGATCTTCGCTGGAGTCTCGCCCTTCTTGTCGGGGCCTGGCGCGATGACGCCAATGGACTGCCCCTCGATGTAGGGCACCTTGCCACCGTGGTCGAAAGTCACATGGCAGGTCTCCCAGTTGGCATCCCCGGTGTCTTCAGTCAGAGTCTGAGGATGAAAGTCGTTGTCGATGACCTTGCCCTGGTAGGGAGCCTTGGGTGTGAAGAGGTTCCAGGGGATCTCCTTGCCGTGCACCACCTTGGCGCCCTTCTTCTTCACAGCGGCGGCCCGGCGGGTCGTGGCCGACGCCTTCCTCCCAACCACCACGGCGGCTGCCAACGCGGCGGCCCCCACGATCGGCACCCCAGCCGATGCGGCGCTGGGAGCAGCGCCTGCGCTGGGTGCTGCGCCCCTCAGGGCGGGGGCACCCACTTGGAGGCTCGGTGCCACAAAGGTCAACGACATCCTGATCGAGATGCAAAGGGATCTGGGAGGCGCTTTGACAGGGCCCAATGGCTACAGGTGTCACGCAAAGTCATTTGGAACGCTGATGGGGCCAAATATGATTGCATGTGTTGCTAACGTTGCGACTTGTTAATGACTCCATGAAACTCCATGACTATGAATGCGTCTGAACGCCAGTTTCCAAACAAAGCAAAGCAAACATGTTCGGTGAGCAAGTGACTTCTGTGTGGCCTGCATGCCTCTGCATAAGGAACGCCAAACGTGCTTGCACATCAGACCCTAGAATGCTACAGTGTGTAGTGTTCTGTCTGTGTTGGTTAGCTCCATGCTTCAGTTGTGCTTGCCATTGCTTATGCTGTGGCATGGCGGCATCACGTGGCATCGAATCAATCTGCATTCCAACGCGTGCTAACGGCATTCGGGTCTGCGTGGGCACAACAAAGCAAGCACTTGGCCATTGCACGGGCAACACTCATGGTCAGCAACAGCGGCTAAATCCAGTGGAGCCTGGTCTTTTGCCCACTGCGTGCAACATGCCTGAGGCCAGCGGGTCAAAGAAAACTGCGCCCCGCTAAAGAGCGCGTATTCAGAGCATCCAGCGCACCTAGCTCCTCAGAAAACCGCCCAGCGCCCATTCCAGCGCATCGTTGGGAAAAATTGAGCGGCACCCGCCCAAACACATGTGCCAGGCCGATCTTGCACTCCAGGCACGCTTGCTTTGGCAAAGTGCCCGTGCACAAATCGCCTGCTGGTTGCAAGCGCTCCTCAGTACACCTCTACGTGATAGCGATCAGCCTTCTTCATGGCCTTGGCAAACTCTGCCCACACAACGCCGTTCTTCTCCGCCAGGGGGCCAAAACACTCGGCCATGCCGGCCTCCATGCCCTTGAGGCCGCACATGTAGACGTGGGTCTTCTCGTCCTGCATGAGGTCCCAAAGCTCCTCCGCGTACTCGGCCATCTTGGTCTGAATGTACATCTTCTGGCCCGCAGCATTCTTGTCCTCGCGGCTCACTGCGTAGTCGTACTTGAACTGGTCCGGGTAGCTCTTCTTGTACGCCTGGTGCTCGTCGTCGTACAGCAGGCTCTTGGAGTAGGGCACGCCCATGAAGAGCCACGCCAGGCCCTTGAACTTGCGGCCATCGCCGCTGGCGCCGGCGTCGTCGTGGAACAGGAGGCGGCAGTAGGAGCGCATGGGTGCAATGCCAGTCCCGGTGGCCAACATGATGATGTTTGCCTCCGGGTCCTCTGGCAACAGCATTTCTGCCCCAGTGGGTCCGGTGATGAGGACGTCATCTCCTGGGGTCATATCGCAAATGTGGTTGGAGCACACGCCGCGGTAGACCTGGTTGTCTGGGAAGCCCGTGCCTGCCTTGTCGGGCTTGTCCTCGCCCTTCTCTCGGTTGGAAAACTTGCCATCCAACTCCACCACGCGCTTCACGCACAGCGACACAGTCTTAGAGTTCTGGTTGTCGCCCACGGCCGAGGACGCAATGGAGTACAAGCGGATCTTCGCTGGAGTCTCGCCCTTCTTGTCGGGGCCTGGCGCGATGACGCCAATGGACTGCCCCTCGATGTAGGGCACCTTGCCACCGTGGTCGAAAGTCACATGGCAGGTCTCCCAGTTGGCATCCCCGGTGTCTTCAGTCAGAGTCTGAGGATGAAAGTCGTTGTCGATGACCTTGCCCTGGTAGGGAGCCTTGGGTGTGAAGAGGTTCCAGGGGATCTCCTTGCCGTGCACCACCTTGGCGCCCTTCTTCTTCACAGCGGCGGCCCGGCGGGTCGTGGCCGACGCCTTCCTCCCAACCACCACGGCGGCTGCCAACGCGGCGGCCCCCACGATCGGCACCCCAGCCGATGCGGCGCTGGGAGCAGCGCCTGCGCTGGGTGCTGCGCCCCTCAGGGCGGGGGCACCCACTTGGAGGCTCGGTGCCACAAAGGTCAACGACATCCTGATCGAGATGCAAAGGGATCTGGGAGGCGCTTTGACAGGGCCCAATGGCTACAGGTGTCACGCAAAGTCATTTGGAACGCTGATGGGGCCAAATATGATTGCATGTGTTGCTAACGTTGCGACTTGTTAATGACTCCATGAAACTCCATGACTATGAATGCGTCTGAACGCCAGTTTCCAAACAAAGCAAAGCAAACATTTTCGGTGAGCAAGTGACTTCCGTGTGGCCTGCATGCCTCTGCATAAGGAACGCCAAACGTGCTTGCACATCAGACCCTAGAATGCTACAGTGTGTAGTGTTCTGTCTGTGTTGGTTAGCTCCATGCTTCAGTTGTGCTTGCCATTGCTTATGCTGTGGCATGGCGGCATCACGTGGCATCGAATCAATCTGCATTCCAACGCGTGCTAACGGCATTCGGGTCTGCGTGGGCACAACAAAACAAGCACTTGGCCATTGCACGGGCAACACTCATGGTCAGCGACAGCGGCTAAATCCAGTGGAGCCTGGTCTTTTGCCCACTGCGTGCAACATGCCTGAGGCCAGCGGGTCAAAGAAAACTGCGCCCCGCTAAAGAGCGCGTATTCAGAGCATCCAGCGCACCTAGCTCCTCAGAAAACCGCCCAGCGCCCATTCCAGCGCATCGTTGGGAAAAATTGAGCGGCACCCGCCCAAACACATGTGCCAGGCCGATCTTGCACTCCAGGCACGCTTGCTTTGGCAAAGTGCCCGTGCACAAATCGCCTGCTGGTTGCAAGCGCTCCTCAGTACACCTCTACGTGATAGCGATCAGCCTTCTTCATGGCCTTGGCAAACTCTGCCCACACAACGCCGTTCTTCTCCGCCAGGGGGCCAAAACACTCGGCCATGCCGGCCTCCATGCCCTTGAGGCCGCACATGTAGACGTGGGTCTTCTCGTCCTGCATGAGGTCCCAAAGCTCCTCCGCGTACTCGGCCATCTTGGTCTGAATGTACATCTTCTGGCCCGCAGCATTCTTGTCCTCGCGGCTCACTGCGTAGTCGTACTTGAACTGGTCCGGGTAGCTCTTCTTGTACGCCTGGTGCTCGTCGTCGTACAGCAGGCTCTTGGAGTAGGGCACGCCCATGAAGAGCCACGCCAGGCCCTTGAACTTGCGGCCATCGCCGCTGGCGCCGGCGTCGTCGTGGAACAGGAGACGGCAGTAGGAGCGCATGGGTGCAATGCCAGTCCCGGTGGCCAACATGATGATGTTTGCCTCCGGGTCCTCTGGCAACAGCATTTCTGCCCCAGTGGGTCCGGTGATGAGGACGTCATCTCCTGGGGTCATATCGCAAATGTGGTTGGAGCACACGCCGCGGTAGACCTGGTTGTCTGGGAAGCCCGTGCCTGCCTTGTCGGGCTTGTCCTCGCCCTTCTCTCGGTTGGAAAACTTGCCATCCAACTCCACCACGCGCTTCACGCACAGCGACACAGTCTTAGAGTTCTGGTTGTCGCCCACGGCCGAGGACGCAATGGAGTACAAGCGGATCTTCGCTGGAGTCTCGCCCTTCTTGTCGGGGCCTGGCGCGATGACGCCAATGGACTGCCCCTCGATGTAGGGCACCTTGCCACCGTGGTCGAAAGTCACATGGCAGGTCTCCCAGTTGGCATCCCCGGTGTCTTCAGTCAGAGTCTGAGGATGAAAGTCGTTGTCGATGACCTTGCCCTGGTAGGGAGCCTTGGGTGTGAAGAGGTTCCAGGGGATCTCCTTGCCGTGCACCACCTTGGCGCCCTTCTTCTTCACAGCGGCGGCCCGGCGGGTCGTGGCCGACGCCTTCCTCCCAACCACCACGGCGGCTGCCAACGCGGCGGCCCCCACGATCGGCACCCCAGCCGATGCGGCGCTGGGAGCAGCGCCTGCGCTGGGTGCTGCGCCCCTCAGGGCGGGGGCACCCACTTGGAGGCTCGGTGCCACAAAGGTCAACGACATCCTGATCGAGATGCAAAGGGATCTGGGAGGCGCTTTGACAGGGCCCAATGGCTACAGGTGTCACGCAAAGTCACGCGGGAAACTCGTTGGTGCCAGGCCTTTACAGTACTCTGCCAGCAGGCTGACATGCCAAGCCTTTGCCCTTCTGCTTGTTTCGCACAACGATTGCCAATGCAAGATTGTATGACCTTTGAAGTTGATGTAGTACACCTGGTATCAGCTTGCATGACGAGCAGCGTTCGCGCCACGTAGAGCGCTGCCTTTCTTGCCATGTGCACCTGTTGCCCAAGACCAATGCAAAAAATGCGTCTTCCCCGTCCTGTTTGGGAAACAGAGCGGGGACTCTGAAACAGAGATGGTGCAAGTTCCTTTAAGGCTGAAGAGTCGTCCTCAAGTCTTGCCGGGTAATTCCCTCCTTGCCCAGTCTACATGCTTGGTTTTTCGCTTGCATATTGGTCAAAGACAGGCCTGGCGGTAAATCTCGAACCAGCGCACCACCCAGTAGGCTGCTTGCAAGAGATGGCTCCTGGGCAAGCAATGGCATGGCAAGGCCTTGGGAACACCGCGCTGCCCTTCACTCGCCACACTCGGTTGCCAGGCTTCTCCTCTTCTGCGCTTCAACAACTAAAATCCGAACTCGTCTTGTGTAAGTCTCAGTGTGTTTGTTCGGTCGCGTTCCGTACTCCGTTGCTCAAGGAAGCTGGCAAGCACCTTGCACGCAGTTCAACAACTTATGTCAGCCATCAACGATGTTTCTGCTGAGTGCCAAGATTGAAGATTGCACTTTGTACATTTACATCCCATCCTTCTTGTGTATTTCCGCCAGCCATTTCAGATACGTAAACGTCCTACACTCAGTGCTGTGTGATTCCAACAAGCCGGGCAAATTAGGTTGCAAGAGTACATGTTGCAACCGCCAGGCATGGAAAGGCATTAAGATCGGTGTTAAGATCAGTGACCCGTGCGCATGTTTAGCTTGTTTTCCGCCTTGGCTTCCCAGTCACCTGTTCAGGTTTCATGTTGGTAAAATGCTAGGCTGCTAGGAAAGCCGTTCTTCCGAACGGCTGGTCCGGTCTTCTTTGCAATCCATACCTAGCTTGGCCATGCAACTCGCTCCCACATCTGCAGCGCAGCCTTGGTTTCCCAGCTTCCGCCAAGACTCACAGCACTGGTGGCATTGTCCACCGCATTGGTCCGCTTAGCTGCCTTCAGGCCCCCCCGCCCCCACCAACCCGTCCGGAGCAACATGCTCACTTGTCCAAACGGCATGGACATGACCAAGTGAAACACAAACACATCATGTATACAAACTCAGGCCAACAAGGCGCATCGTCACATATGTCCCTCCGCTTTTCATCCCCGCCTGCAGTGCCCGCATCCGGGCACGCTGCAGGTCCCGGTGCCGCTGGAACCAGCGCAAGGCGCTGGCGGCGGTGCCAAGAGCGTCCTACGGGCGACGCGCATTGGAGTCATCCGAGCTCTCATGGTTTTGGAGAGCGCGTGTTGCCCTCTCCCACAATGAAGCGGTAGCAAGGGGTCCGGCTCACCGAGCTCCAAGCCCAAGGCAACAAACAGGACGTGCACACGCCCCCATTGGAATTGCGAAAAGCCGCCAAAACTAGCCCAACACGCAAGCAAGACATGCCATATCATGTCACGTAGAATTGAGTGTCCTCTCGGTCGAATCCCAAAGACGGTTGCTAAAGATAGTAAGTGAACCTTATGACAAGGAACCCTATGATGCAAGTTGAGAGGAATGCGCCAAACTGAGCAAGCAGTGCACATGACTGGCAGTGCCCGACAAATGTCAATGAAGGGAATAATGGCTGAAACTACGAAACACACAACTCAAACAGGCTTACCAAAGCTTCAAAGCCGTGCTTGCATTTCATTTATTGCCGTAGGAGTTCGAAGCATTGTGGAATCAAGCATCGGAAAGGCTGCTTTGCTTTTGCCTGCCCGCCAAGTGCAGCCAACCTTGAGCTACCCTCTGACTAACGCTTCGCTAATTTGAATGGCTAGCTTTGAGTCAGTGAGGTTTCAAATAGTGGAGAGCTGTTCCCTGACCTACAGTCACACGTACACCAAGCGTTTAGCCGACGCTCACAGCCATGCGGCGCGGGCCAGTGCTGCCCCGCGCAGCTCGCCGAAGCCGGGATTTCCGGAGACCCTGCCAGGTCGCCTCAGCTACTTTCTGCTTCAAGCAGCTGCCGGCGAACATCGAAGGTGAGCCTTTGAAACCTGAGAAACCCGGAGATTTGCCTGTTGCTGCGCTTCTCTCCCATGGCTGAACCCTGTTTGAGCGATTGGCTGATGTAGGTGTCCTTCAAAACAAGAATCCTCTACAAATTTGTGTTTCTTGCTTTTTCTTTTACTTATATCTGATGAGAAGCGATAGCTGGAACCAGGCCAACGCAAGCACGATGGCGCCAGAGTCCTGAGCGCAAAGCATATTGCTTGCCCCCATGCGCGCACAAAAAACAAAGCAAGCAACAGCGCTTACGCTAGGACAGCTTTGCATCCGTCCAAAGCCAAGAATGCCTCTAACCATGCCAAGTCAGCCTAAGGATGCCCACAATTCCCGAGCTGCGCTTAGCGGCTTAGCACATTCAGCAGGGTACTGGAGGACTTGGCTTGTGTTCAAGCTTCTGTGGAGGCATCATGCATCTTGGCCATGTAGAGGGCGACACGCCGCGCAAAATTCAAGCGCTTTTGCCATTCGAACCACCGCAATGACTGGATCACCACCTGCAGCTGTAGCAAAGAGGCAGGACATGGCAACTGAGCTCATGCCGCAAGTATTACTCAGCTCTGAGTCGGGGGCATCTGCTGGAAAGCCGTCGTCGGAAATTGCGTCAGAATCACTCCTCGCAGCGCCACAGAACAACCGCACGGCAGCAAGCAGCCACCAAAATAATCATAGCATGCTGCCATGGACTGCAGCGAGAAACAAAAAAAGAATGCCACGCACAGCGTGTATGTGAGGATAAATGTTAAACTTGCAAAACTGATTCAGCATCTGCAACCAAGCGCAGCTTCAATGAACACACGGTCCGGCCAAGACCGTGTCATGGTAATTCCGAGCTGCTCAACTGCCTGCGCCCTTCTCATCGCTTGCCGAGCCTTGCCACGGCGAGTTCGGTGCAATCCCTTGACAAAAGGGGGTCCCACAAAACTGGCCATGCAACGTGACAGTTGCCAAGTGGGTGGTCCAAGTCAGAAACCTTTGCGAACACTTGCTCTTCCGAATCCACCTACGGGGTGATTTCAGGCTGGGCAAGTGATGCCCATGGATAGGTTTTGCAACAGGACACGCAGTTTGCGCCGGAGATGTGCAAGCCGCAGGCTGTCATCCTTGTCTACAGGCAGGTTGCACACACGCCGCTTCCTTCTCAGGCGGAATCCTGCCCTATGGGCATAGCCACTAATGTCATGTAGTCAAATTAGCTTCTGCTTCAGCATGCTAGCCTTTGCAGTATCCAAGCCAGTAAGTTCGTTGTCCAGTTCCCTATCGTTGTTCAATACTCTAGCTCGCCAGTTTTGTGCGTGCCCACAAAATCCGTGAAACACCCAGTACTTAACACAACAGCGGTCATTTTGAGGGTTCCTCATCGCTCATGTCAAATGTCTCATCAATATGCAGCTGAATATGCTTCACGTGGCCAAGAGAGACATTCCGCGCCGACCCCTGCTTCAGCATCTTAGAATAGGAAACCCTCTTTTGGTGGATGTTAAGCAGCAAGCACCAGGACAATGCAGGACACCAACCACACGGAAAAACAGCACTAATTAATAGGTATTTGAATCTATTTGTCCTGCCAGCTTTCACAGGCCCCAGCAAAGAAGATTTCTTGCAAGGCCCCATACAGGACAAAAGGCCGGCCTCTGCGGAATCTTGCTCTGAGTCGGCTTCCAGATCCTGGGTGCGTTCGCTTGTGCCTGCAGGATGGGCCTTGGCCTTCTGCTTCAGCAAAGCCATCTTGGCGGCCTGCAGCCGCATGGACTTGCCGCCAGTGCTGTCAGCGCTGCCGGGCGGCTCCTGCTCCAATGCCTCCAAAGATTCCAAGGCAGCGTCCAATTCCTGGGTGCTTTCGCTTGTGCTTGCAGCAGGGGCCTTGGCCTTCTGCTTCAGCAAAGCCATCTTGGCGGCCTGCAGCCGCAGGGACTTGCCGCCAGCGCTGTCAGCGCTGCCGGGCGGCTCCTGCTCCAACGCCTCTAAAGCTTCCAAGGCAGCATCCAATTGCTGGGTGCTTTCGCTTGTGCTTGCAGCAGGGGCCTTGGCCTTCTGCTTCAGCAAAGCCATCTTGGCGGCCTGCAGCCGCATGGACTTGCCGCCAGTGCTGCCAGCGCTGCTGGGCGGCTCCTGCTCCAACGCCTCCAAAGCTTCCAAGGCAGCATCCAAATCCTGGGTGCTTTCGCTTGTGCTTGCAGCAGGGGCCTTGGCCTTCTGCTTCAGCAAAGCCATCTTGGCGGCCTGCAGCCGCATGGACTTGCCGCCAGTGCTGCCAGCGCTGCCGGGCGGCTCCTGCTCCAACGCCTCCAAAGCCCATCCAATTCCTGGGTGCTTGCCTTGCAGCCGGCGGCCTGGCTGGACTGCCAGCGCTTTCAGTGCTGCCAGCGCTGCTGGGCGGCTTGCAGCTTGCAACGGCCCTGCCATGGACTTGCCGCCGGTGCTGTCAGCGCTGCCGGGCGGCTCCTGCTCCAACGCCTCCAAAGCTTCCAAGGCAGCATCCAATTCCTGGGTGCTTTCGCTTGTGCTTGCAGCAGGGGCCTTGGCCTTCTGCTTCAGCAAAGCCATCTTGGCGGCCTGCAGCCGCATGGACTTGCCGCCAGTGCTGTGAGCGCTGCCGGGCGGCTCCTGCTCCAACGCCTCCAAAGCTTCCAAGGCAGCATCCAATTCCTGGGTGCTTTCGCTTGTGCTTGCAGCAGGGGCCTTGGCCTTCTGCTTCAGCAAAGCCATCTTTGCGGCCTGCAGCCGCATGGACTTCCCGTCAGTGCTTTCAGCGCTGCTGGGCGGCTCCTGCTCCAACGCCTCCAAAGCTTTCAAGGCAGCGTCCAATTCCTGGGTGCTTTCGCTTGTGCTTGCATCAGGGGCCTTGGCCTTCTGCTTCAGCAAAGCCATCTTGGCGGCCTGCAGCCGCATGGACTTGCCGCCAGTGCTTTCAGCGCTGCTGGGCGGCTCCTGCTGGGAGGGGGATCATTTTCGAACACCGATTTTGGATCATTTTCGAACACCGATGTCCTGGATCATTTTCGAACACAGGGTGGGTCATTTTCGAACACATGGGGGGGCTATCCTGCGGCACCCGTGGGGTGGGGGGGGGTGGGGTGGGGCAGTTGCGTTCGCCTCTTACTGCGTGCCCGTGCAACTGCGCCCTGGGGCTGGGGGAAGGGGGCAACCAGGAGGCTCCGAGTCCCAAGTTACCTTGGCTTTTTGAGCTAAGATGTCGTCGGCCGTAATAACTCGCGCGGGAAACTGAAAGGCCGCTACTACTCCGTGAAAAAGCCGTGAAAACTCGTGAAATTTCAAGCTCTGAGTTATCTTGTCCTCGCGACACAAAAAACCTCCTTAGCTCATACGGCCTAAGTAACTTGCGAATCGGAGCCTCCTGGAATTGCGATCGCCGCTTACTGCGTGGCGGCGCAACTGCGTATTGGGGCTGGGGGGGGGGAAGGTGGGGTGGGGCAGTTACGTTCGCTTCTTGCTGCGTGACCGTGCGACTGCGTCCTGAGGGGGGGGGGATGGGGTGGGGCAGTTATTTTCGCCTCTTACTGCGTGACCGTGCGACTGCGCGCTGGTGGTGATGGCGGTGTTGTTGGTAGCGATGATGACGATGTTGATGATGATGGTCATGATGATGATGATGATGATTATGTTGACCATGTTGATGATGATGATGATGTTGATGATGATGATGATGACGGTGATGATGTTGATGATGATGGTGATGATGTTAATGATGATGATATTGATGTTGCCGATGGGGATGTCGATGGCGATGACTTTGATGATGTCGATGATGATGGTGATGTCGACGTCGATGTTGATAATGGTGATGATGTTGTTAATGATGATGATGATGATGATGGTGATGATGCTCATGTTGACGATGTTGATGATGATGGTAGTGATGGTAGTGATGATGATGATGATGATGATGATGATGTTGACGACGATGATGATGATGATGATGATGATGATGATGATGATGATGATGATGATGTCGCTTTGCGTTCCTTGTGCTTTGTGTTCCCGGGTCTACAGTTGACGATTGTCTCCCAAAAGCACGGCGCCATCCATGTGCTACACGTGCATCGTGGTGCGTGTTCGTGCGCCTCATCGTGGTGTGCATGGACACTTGGAAAATGGCCGTGCTGCTGTAAATCACATACACTTGAGCAAAACCGCGTTCAAAAACGAGCCAAAACACGCGTTCAAAAACGAGCCAAAACACGCGTTCAAAAACGACCACCTTCCCGCTCCTGCTCCAACGCCTCCAAAGCTTCCAAGGCAGCATCCAAATCCTGGGTGCTTTCGCTTGTGCTTGCAGCAGGGGCCTTGGCCTTCTGCTTCAGCAAAGCCATCTTGGCGGCCTGCAGCCGCATGGACTTGCCGCCAGCGCTGTCAGCGCTGCTGGGCGGCTCCTGCTCCAACGCCTCCAAAGCTTCCAAGGCAGCGTCCAATTCCTGGGTGCTTTCGCTTGTGCTTGCAGCAGGGGCCTTGGCCTTCTGCTTCAGCAAAGCCATCTTGGCGGCCTGCAGCCGCATGGACTTGCCGCCAGTGCTGTCAGTGCTGCCGGGCGGCTCCTGCTCCAACGCCTCCAAAGCTTCCAAGGCAGCATCCAATTCCTGGGTGCTTTCGCTTGTGCTTGCAGCAGGGGCCTTGGCCTTCTGCTTCAGCAAAGCCATCTTGGCGGCCTGCAGCCGCATGGACTTGCCGCCAGTGCTGTCAGTGCTGCCGGGCGGCTCCTGCTCCAACGCCTCCAAAGCTTCCAAGGCAGCGTCCAATTCCTGGGTGCTTTCGCTTGTGCTTGCAGCAGGGGCCTTGGCCTTCTGCTTCAGCAAAGCTATCTTGGCGGCCTGCAGCCGCATGGACTTGCCGCCAGCGCTGTCAGTGCTGCTGGGCGGCTCCTGCTCCAACGCCTCCAAAGCTTCCAAGGCAGCGTCCAATTCTTGGGTGCTTTCGCTTTTGCTTGCAGCAGGGGCCTTGGCCTTCTGCTTCAGCAAAGCCATCTTGGCGGCCTGCAGCCGCATGGACTTGCCGCCGGTGCTGTCAGTGCTGCCGGGCGGCTCCTGCTCCAACGCCTCCAATGCTTCCAAGGCAGCGTCCAATTCCTGGGTGCTTTCGCTTTTGCTGGCGGCAGGCGCTTTGGTCTTCTGCTTCAGCAAAGCCACGTGTGACGTAGTGGTCTTTGCCTTCTGCTTCAGCAAAGCCATCCGGCCTGCCTCGACTTTTCTCCTTTCACTCGGGCTCGCAGGCGTCATTTGTTCTTCCAGGTCAGACAGTTGTTGCAGTATTTCGCCCATTTCCCTGGATGTGACCCTTGGATCCGACGCAGCGAGCCTAAACTTTTGCTGTAAGAGCGCCAGCTGGGCGCTCCTTACAGTTTCCTTACTTGCCCAGGAAAAAGTGTGGCATGCATTGGTTGGTTATGTCGGTTGTCAGTTATTTTGGTTGATTTTTCAAGGTGACCCCACCAAAGAGACAGAAAAAGGTGCTGGGAAACCGCGCTTCCGCTTGAGATTCCGCTGGCTGCGACTCCAACACCTCCAAGGCCGCCAGGGCGATCTCCAGTTCCTGTGGATCAAACACCCGGCACGGCCGAGTGCGGGCCGCAAACTGAGGCCCCGCAATTTTCGCTGCTGCTGCTGCTCTCTCCCTCTCCCTCTCTCGCTGCCGTTGTGTCCAGAGGGTCTTGACTCAGCAAGGCAACGAAAAAGGCGCCCACTGATATTGAGGGGCACCCCACGGCTTAAGTGCTTCTGCGAGCCCCCTGGGCCTCTGTGGCGTTGGGACATGCGACGAGAACTACCTGGCAGTCCTCCATCTCTGCCCCAATCTTCTGACTCATCTCCGCGCTCTGGAGCCTCATCTCCCGGGCGCTTTGCTGCACCTCCAGATTTGCTTCATGCACTCCAGCCGGCTGGAATTGGGCCACATGCCACCGGCCCAACATGCCACGGTACCCTCCCCTAAAATTGATCTGGAACCTCAAAACACTATTCAGGAGGAAAAACACAAATTCCTGTTACATGTTCTGTTTCAGGATGTTTCAGGGACGTGATCCCAAACCAAAGGCTTCTCCTGCCTTGCTCCTCTCTGACCCGGGCGCTGCACCCTCTGGGAACCTGAGCTGGAATGCTGGAACAAGGGGCCAGGAAAACAAGAAACCACTCCAAGTCCATACAAAGATGCGGCTTTGGGACGGTTTCTTCCATGCAAACGAGCGTCGTTGAGCTTGACTTTCTGTTGACCTGTTGCTGCTGGAAATGTTGTCTGGCCTCTCATGCCACCAATCATTCACCTACACACTGACGGAAAGTGCGTTGCGCATCGTTGTGTAATTGCCGCCTCTAAGTCTTTTCCACCAGCAAAAGGTTGCCCAGCGGCGTAAGAGTGGCAAGCAACCCATCATGCGGCACGCATCATGAATTGGACCCTCGCTGTTGTTTTGGCTACAGCCATGCCCATCATGTGGCTGATGGCCTGCAGGTTAAGGAGTCAGAAGGCTTACTGAAACGAACTGCATACTAAATGCTTCTGACCGGTTAGAGACTGAAATGAGGCGCTGTTTCGCAACCACAAGGAACCCTTGGAGAAATTCTGAAACCCACATTTTGGGCGCAAGAAAGAGGCCTCTTTCGCCATAGGCACTGCCTGGCTGCCAGCTTCCGCTTCTGCTCCGCCACCGCCAGGCGCGCCAGCTTCAGCTGCGCCGCCCCGCGGCTTTTGGTTTCAGCGCTGGCAAAGTTCTCTAAGGCCTGCGAGCGGCTTGTGGCGTCGAGTTGTTCGTCTTGCACTCCCGAGCGCCAACATGGGACCTGAGCCCGCCATTCGCAAAGGAGCCTCCTTTTGGAGGGCCAACCTTTGGCGCAACATGTCAATTTTCAGGCAGTGGCCGATGAAGGAACCAACAACTCGCTTGCCTGCAAGGCCTTGTCAAGATCTTCGATGAGGTTCAGCTCCTTGCCATGTGCTTGGGGCTCATGAATGCCCGGAACATTGAAGGTGGGGTTGATAGTTCAGCTCCTTGCCATGTGCTTGGGGCTCATGAATGCCCGGAACACTCGAGGAAGATCGAGGAAGTTTGGAAAAGTTCAAGAACCAATTGGCGTTGAAACTCGGACCGTTGTGGGAAGAGTTTTAAGCGCCCGCCTGAAAGCAAGCATCTAGAGCCTTGACACCTGCAAACGACTCGGTTCCGAGCAATTGCCAAACTACATAGGTATACAAGACATACAGGGCTGTGAGGTTTTCTCATGCACATCACCGCCTCGGCGCTCATGCGCTGTAAGTTCCATGGGAGAAACATGTTTTCCTGAGACACACCCTTCTGCGCCCGCAATTACAAGCAGTTTCACACGCAAGCCTATGTTTCGTCCCACGGGCGCCACGTTCTTCAAGAGCCCGAGGACTGTTTTGCAATGGGGTGCGACTACTTGCAAAACACAGAGAGCACCATTTTGCACGCCGAGAGCCTTCGTATCACCGTCCTTGCTGAGCATCATGCCACAGTGCTTTTAACAGACAGGGTGGCCCCATAAAGGAAAACGTCGGTGTGTGGTCGCTTGGTGCCATGTTAATGTATTGAACACCTCCATTTTGCCCTCGACCCTGGTAAGGATTTTATGTTTAATATCGACATCCTGATAGGCCACAACTCTCTGCAAACGTTGATGTGTGGTCGCTTGGTGTCATGTGAATGTATTGAACCCCTCCGTTTTGTCCTCATGACACTGGCAAGAACCCCGTGTTCAATATCGACATCCTGATAGGTATGTATGTATACACATGCGTTTGTATGCCAATTCCTGCAATGGATTCCTTTTGCTACTTGTGTGAACCCTCTGCACAAACAGAAAACGCCCCTCCACTTTCAAAAGCAAAAAATAGTCCAAATGCATTGTGACACGGCAACGAACATATTTGCATCCCCCCGTTCCCGCCCCCCACGTGCGCTGCTGCGGGTACGATGGGCTCATGTAAAGCACGGCGCATGCCGACGAACGTAATTACATCCCACCCCCCCATTCCCCCGCCCCCCACGTGCGCTGCTGCGTGTACGATGGGCTCACGTAAAGCACGGCGCGTGCCGACGAACGTAATTACATCCCCACCCCCCCTTCAACCCCCCCATCCCCCCCCCCAACCACCCAATCAGCTGAAAACCCTACGGCCGTCTATGTGCCGTGGACCAACTACATGGCTGAAGCCCTGCCCAAAAGATCCGGCACCCTGGCTGCAAAAGAACCCTCCTGGCATCAAGCATGAAAAGGGTTTGAAATTGGACATCCCCAATCCCTAGGCGACGCAGGCAAAATTCAACATTTCTCATCGAACATCGTCGATAAGTACTTGAGGAACCATGTTGGCTGACTGCCTGGAAGTAGCCAAGCGAGCTAATGATGCCGCCAATTCACAAGCTCTTTAGAAATCTGTTCCTTGCTAGCTTCTTCCTGCGCGGGTAATTCGATGATGGTTTGATCAAGGCCCAGGACGACCCCTACCAATCAAACAAAAACGGCCTATGTAAACGCTGATCGCAATCGACTCAGCTGCATTTCAACGCAGCATACTGCAGCCAACTCAGTTGAGTTGTTCAAAATGACCTTTCCCGAAAACTGCCCCTCCGCCCGTTTAAGCCAACCTTTCGCACGCTTCCGCGCCCAGCGCTCCTTGGGTTCCGCCCGGAGCTCCTTGGGCACTGTCTTGGCCTCGAAGTGCACGCGCTGCCTGGAAGCAACGCCCCTTGGCCTTCTGGGGTCTAAAAGGCAACAGCGCCTGCGGAGCACCTAACCGACCCATACCTTTGAGCTGTTGTGAAGTCTATGTTCATGACGGATCGAATGCCCCCCAGCCTGTGAATGGCGAAATAAGCTCAGCCTTCGCAACACTCCGCAACATGCCTAAATGATTCAGGAGAAACAGCTGCACGTGTCGAACGTCATCTAAAGACTCTAGCCAAGCGGCTGTGCTTACAGCAATGGTTTCTTTGAATATTTAACTTACGATGAATCACGCTTTCAATCTCCAACGGCTGCCAAGGCACTTGCGCATACCAGCTTTGACAACTTCCACACGGTCAGAGCGACTCTTCTTCTTCAGTTTTTCTGTCTTGGATGTTGCAACGAAAAGGAGCCAGGCAAGCCACAGAATCTGCAAAAAGAAGGCCCTCGGAAGCAAGAACGTCTCCGCTGAGTGGGGCAAGGGCTGTTTGAGAGCCTGCTTGCGAAGGTCGTGATCAGCCTGGCAAAGGTCAAGCACAAAACCCCCAGCTGAAAATTTTAGCTTCCAACTGTCATGCCATGCCATTCAGCAAAAGGTGCTCGCCTGGACCTCCCGCACCAACGGTGATTGTGGCGCGTCCGGAAGGCTCTTGGGGTGAGCGCGCCCTTCCTTGCCAAACTTTGGCACCTCCCCGAAGGACGGCGTGCGCTGTGGCTGCCCCCGAGAGTCCCTTTGCGTAGTCTTGGCCGCCCGTTGCGCTTCTTCAGCCTTGCTTGCCGCCTGTGCCTCCTCCCTCCTCCGCAGCTCTTTCCTCAGGTGCACGCTGGCCACAAGAAAAAGACCCCTCTTTGATTGCTCCATGATGCCTCCCAGGGCTGAGCACAACAACAGTGACATCAAGGGGCCTGCCAAGCCGAGTTGCAGCCGCTCTCTTCGCAGCTCCTCCGCCTTGGCCTCCAACACGGCCGCACCCACCCGTGGTGCCGCACTCGGCTTCTGCGCGGAGCTACCGCGCGAGGTGCCGGATCGGGCAGGCGGCCGAAAGCTGCTCTGACTGGTCTGCGAAGTGGAGCGCGTCCTGGCATAACTTTGCAAGACTGTGTACGCCGACTTAGCGTCAGCTACGTGTCAGCTCCGGCCAAAGAGGCATGGCGTTTGAAAGGATGTGTTGCCTACCTCACAAGTCTTCAACTGACCTCTTGTGATTTCAAGCACTCGCCTGGTGCGCTTCCAGGCGTTGTCCAACTCCTGCGCCAACTCCTCCAACTTGCGTCCGGTGTCCTTCCAGGGTTTCCAGGCTTGCTTCCGGAAGAACACGCATCGTCCGACAAGATCTCCCAGAAAAAACAGGCCACGAAGGAGTGACAAAGGCCCTGAAGTCAAACGACTCTTAATGGTTACACCCGAGTAATTACTCCCTGCTCGGTCGACAAGGTCCAGAAAAAAAGGCTTGATCGGGCGTCACCATTATCATTAACGTGATCCGTTGCGCCACACCGACATCAAAGCTGCGGCCATCCTGAGTCTCATCTGACAAGGACTCCGCCTTGCTCACGCGAGCTTTGGGTGCGGAAGTCCGTTTTGCGAATGGCGTGGCGCGCATTGATCTCACTGGTCTCCATCCGGAGCCCAAGGTGCAGTCAGGCCACTTGCCCGAGCCAGAAGCCTGCAGCTCTGCCAGACTTGTCAGCGCATGCTTCTCCTCTAGTCTTAGAGCCGCTGCGGTGTCATCAAAGCGGGTAAGGACCAAGACGCACGCTGCTCGAAAATACAAGTGGCCATGCTGGCGAGGACTGGACAAAAAACACCCTGCTTGAGGGAGCCATGTCCGTCTCTTCCCTTCCCAATGTAAAATCCCAAGCTCACGGTTGCCAGGTCCTAAAAAACAGCTCCGAGGACCTATGGCCGCCATATGCCCCAAACTCTTCCGCGGCAACTTGCCACGAACATCGCCAGCTATGTGCTGGGATGCTGCGTAGTTTTGACAAGTGTTTAACTCCAAAGGCAAAAAAAAAAGGCGTGTTGGCCCCGTGAAATGTGCTGGCTGCAAAAAGGGTGAGTACTTTGCAGCTCCACCCACATGTAAGCCTCACAGTTACAATCTATGCAAGCCCTGAACCCCTGTCAAACCAGAACCAAACCAAACCTGAAAGTTGAAAGCGTCAAAGAATCGAGTGTTGCTGGAAGACCCGGTGGGGCTGAATTCTGTTCCGACCCTGCCGGAAACCGCGAATGCTCCTGCCTATGTAATGGCCGGGCCCGACGTTGTCCAAGTGTGAAGAAGACCTGCACTATGCCCCGCGTGGGACAACTCGACTGAGCGATTCAGCAGCTCTGAGAAGCTGAATTTGAGCCACACTTGGCCTGCGTTGCCTCTACACCTCGATCTTGAGGACCGGGTGTGGTGTTTAGGTTAACCCATCTTTGATGTCATTGCTGGAAACGCTTCTCTTGTCAAACACTGGGTGTCTGCGACGCAGGCATAATTTACAAGGCTCCCACCGGACGTGACTAAGGTCGGTCATCTTCTTGGCCGTCCTTGGCGAGAGGAATGCTTTCTGCATGTTGGTTCTATGGGGGAGCCACGCGAATTGCCATGAAACTTGCAGTGACTTCCAAATAGGTATCCTTATGGCCCCTTGGCATTGAACAAAATAGGGGAAAAGCGTGTGCTCACTCAAGGCTGAATAGCCATGAATTGATGTGCCTTGCGAGCTCAAGTCTCCACTGAGCTGCAGGCAAATCCCGATCCTCTTTCGAACAGCTCCACGTGAACCTCAGCAGAAAAGGGGGGATGTGAAGGGAAGGGAAGGCCTACGAGGCGACCATCTAGGAGAAGCATTCTGATCATTCCAAGGGAACGGCAAAATGTGTCACAAGTGTGGCGTTCCATTGCAGTAACCAAATGCTAAAGTGCGGAAGAATCAGGAATAGATTGCTTGGATTGGATCTGGGGCGACGCCGGGATCAATCATGTAGGTGGCTTTCATGTGCACACCCAGCTATTCCAGGGCCAATTGTTTGAATGGACGGCTTGAAAGTGCATCTGTGCAAACCCGGTGCCTCAGAAAGCCCAAGCCTCAAGGGCCCTGGGTACTGTGTGTGCTTCCTGCTTGCTTCAGAGCATCTTCCGGCCTTCTGAGTGGCTTGGCCAAAGAAACAAGGTCTTGACTTGCTCGGGTCACCTTCCCCCTTCGACTTCCGGAGGCTGTGCCGGACTCACCCTGAAGCGCAGGGAATGCACAAAAGTCACTGCTCGAAGCACCTCGCATTTCCACGAGGCAACCGGCGAGCCAAAGCTCAAAACAGCCAAGGCCCCCAGCCCTGCCGACTTCTTGTAGCAAGGGTGTGGTCCCCGGATGTTCCCCTCGAGCACCTGCGCCCATGATTCACACAAAGGCCCGACTCAAAACTTTGGGCATTCAAGGGTCTCTATCCTGCTGTCGGGTTTCCACAAAAGCTTGATGAAGGCCCAAGCAACCAGCCTTTCGATGCGATTTGTTCGGGAAGCAACTGCGACAGCTTGCTCCTTGCCAAAAGGACAGCCTACATTCAAGAAAGAGCATGGCTATCCTGCTGATGCCAGCTGGCGATGCTGCCGCATGGCTCCTCATGTAGATCCCTTAGGCACCCGAACCCGCCAAGGGCCCACTGACAAATGGAACAGGCTCGGAACATGCCCAGTTGTGCGAGCCGGTTGGCCCATCTCGGACACCAATCACATCTGACGAATCCATCCCTTTGAGACTTTGAGGGATTTGCCTCACAAGCGACCGCAAGAAGGGTCATCTCAAGGCATGGCCACTCAAGAGGCTCCCAGGTCCCCTCCCGCCTCTCCCTCGAAGCGCTGGTGAGGCTGGAACTCGGCATTGTGAAATGTTCTTTCACGTTCCATCAACTACTTCATCCAAATCCTGCCCTGCTAATTAATCACCCACACCCTCCTGAATCGACACGAAAGAGCCATGCTCCAAAGCACTTAACTCCCCTCTTGAAATTAACATGGCCTTCAACATGCTCATGACCAACATGGCCAACCTGACTCAGTACCTCATGCTTTCCGCCTAAGGCCCGCGCCTCATCCTTCACCACCTTGCGCTTGAGCCCCAGGCGCCTCTCCTGTCAAGCGAGCTGATCGAGCCTCTGCCGGCGGACGGGCAGCAGCGACAGCCTTGGAGACAGCTCTAACAAACAACATGCCATGCAAAATATTGAGCATTAAACATGGCGCCAGGCAAGCACCCCGCTCGACGATCCTTCAACAGACTGCCAAAACTCAGCTGGTGGATCCTTGTGCGCCTGAGGTGCAATTACTAAACGGTCTGACGTTTAAAACCAAGTGCCTCTATGTGTGAAGTAAAAGCTTTGCCCCCAAAAGATGGGCACCTTTGGACTCAACCCCATTCTTTTGATGCTTGCTATGTTGACGAAGACAATGAACTAGTCTGACTGTGAGGCGGAGTGACCCGCTGATAACGCTCTATCAGAAGTGCAAGGCATTGCTCAAGCTAAATTCCAGCCACAGAGTGCCCAAGCCACAGCTTGCTTCATCGCCTCTGGGTCAATCGTTTTTGGGTCAATCGCCTGTGGGTCAACCCAGCTCTGATGCCCACGTCCTCCATATCTGCCCACGCATGAAGCTCGGATCTCTTCCTGGCCGGGCGATAAAAAACAAAACAAAAACTGTCGTTCAAACTAGCTGCTTGAAAACTCTGCATTTTCTTCCCGGGTGTAAACGGTGTGTCACCAACGGTTGACTTATCCGTGCTTTCCTTTCGCAATTGGTGGAGTGCGGGTATCTCTGCTTGAAGTGGCTGAGACACATGACAAAATCCATGCCGAGCTTCATTCCAGGAAGTTGTTTATAACGGTGCTTTCTATGGCGTAGCCATGTCACAATCATTTTCCTACCGCCTGGGCCTGTGAAAGGTGAACAGGCATTTCTTCTCTAGTCACTGCGCCCAGCGCCCAGATGCGCCCAGCATCTGGCAAATGGGCAACCATGCAGGTGCAATATCCCCAGTGGGGAGGGGGGGTCCCCCTAATCCATTTAATGTATTTATTCTTCCCCACAAAAGGGAAAATCACCATAAATGGAATTCCAGGGGTCACCCCCCGCCCCCAATTCCATTTATTGAAGGCGGTGGGGATGGTGCCCAGTGAGAAAAGCTCTGAAACCCCTTGAGCCTCTTCTCTGCGATCACCTCCTTTCTGTGCAGCTTGAGCTTCTGCTCTTGCTCCTGCGCTAGCGCCACTCGAAGGCCATGTGTGCTTCGCGCACTGGACGGTGACTACCTCAACTTTCCCCCCCCCCCCCCACCCACCCCACCAGTTTGTATGGTTGACGATGATCCAGATTTCGTGAAACTTAAGATGTTCAATTGATTGAAATGGCATCCCCCAACGGCACCTGATAAAACAAAATGACAAAGACCATAGCAGAAGCCACTCGCCACATCTGTTCGTGCATTCAGAAGCAATGGCCTCTGCCAGACTCCTGAAAACTCGTCTTTAAAGATACTTGTTGCGCTTTGTTGGCAACACACATTAGAGAGTTGGCAAGCCAAATTGATCCCTGCAGCAACTTCGGGGCAAAGCTGGGTTGAACAACGAACAACGGCAACAAAAATACGACGTGAAAGAAACACTCCCAGTAGTTTCAAGGCCACACGGTGACAGGGCAAAACTCAGCATGCTCATGCCTATCATATAGCTAAGGTTTTCTTTTCTGCTGGTGCGCAAAAGACTATTCCAGGTTCCCACTCAAACTGGTCAAAACTACTAATCATTCTCAAGTTTGTTGATCCAGAATTAGGCTGGTCGGTCCTGCAGGGATGGGAACCTCTTCGTCTGCTTGATCATCGCCAACTGGCAGCCGGCATTCGTGTGCGAAACCCGCGATTTGAGCGAGGGTTGCTCCTGTGCTCATAAGCTGCGCTTGATTCTGTCTGTGAAGGGGTGCAAGGATCCTGACCCTAAACTCCACTTTTCCCGCTGCAGCACCCTCCCTGCCGCTCTTTGGGCAGAGACGGCGACGCTAGGATTTGTGAGGCGAGCGCGAGCGTGTCACTTCACGGCTGGCTTTCCCATCCTGCAGACATGCGACGTGTAGGGTCATGCGACATGCAAGCAGCTCGCTGGACCAAATGAGCGGGCATCCCCAGCACTCAATATGATCGTGGAACCAACCGAGCCAGCACGGCCAACCTTCAGTGCCCATGCATATTTGCTGAACCTTGCCTACACACTTGACTCTTCCCGCTTGGCTGTGGAACAACGCCGAGCAAACAGCCTGACAAACTGCCTCTCAGCTGGGCTGTGAGAAACAAAAGTTGAACCCATCAGTGCGGCCAGGATTGGCCAAAACCGAGGACAGGAAATACCGTACCAAAGTTCGGGACGCTCGCTCACTCTTAGCAAAGTGCTACGTCGGCCAAACAATGCGACCCACTCACTCATGGTGCCAAGCCTATCTGACAAAGAGAACACCACAGTTCTATCAGACGCGGCCTCCTCCTGTTCATCGCAATGCCTTCTTGAACCTCCGCGGATCGCGCCTCCGCTTGCTTGCAAAGCCAGGCCACTTCAATGGCTTTGCCCTTCCTTGTGCCAAAAGCAGCGATCACCCGATCAAAGCATGAGCAACAACATGCATGAACCTCTGTTGCGAGAGAGCTGGCCTAGGTTCACATATGTGATGTCATCGTGTCATTCGCCAGCGAATCAGTTGAAGCAAACTCCAATCTGCTTCAAAGTGCTGCAGGACCAACAGGATTTGAGACTCGCGCTGCATTGTGCCGTGGCCCCTTGTTTGCTTCTACCTCACGTGACAACAAATATGGGGTCAACACTGCCGTTTCTTTGCGCTTTCCTGATCCAAGGCAACAATGGGCAACGATGTCCGGTTGGCCTTGCTTCAAATCTACCGCGCTCTTGAACGAATAGGCCTGCCCTGCTTCACAGATTCAAGGAAAAAAACAAGCAGGTCCCTTGGCCAACTCCCTGCACCCATTGCATGCCCAAGCGCAGCTGCTTCCCGTTCATGGCACTCAAAGCCGCAAGGGCTTCCTCGTGGCTTGGGTACTCCAACATGCAGTAGCCTCAAGTAAGCCACAACATGCTGCCGAAGGGGCCACATGCAAGGCACGACGCCAAATGCTGGCCAAGATGCCTTTGGCATTTCCTGTCATCCTTCGCAAAGCTCCGAGTGCTGGGAAACAATGACCATGCAGCATGCACCAACTCAGTCAGGGGGCCCCGTGCTGTGCTGGTTTTGTTCTCTGTCCTGTCCAAAGGCACGTGGAGACTGGTGAGGGTGCCGAAAGGTCGGAAAGCCTCATCCACATCATCCTCTTCGACCTGCGGTACCCATCAAACTGTTCTGGGTGCTGGGAGAACGTATTCCAACAGCACTGCCTTCCATGCATTGTGCAACGGTTTCGACTAGTTTCAGTGACGGATTGTGCCAGGTTGGGCCGCACGTAGGGCAAAGCCCTCCCAGGTTCCATGAGTTTTGAAAAGAGAGTCAGGTCATAGCATCATCCCGCCTCTTCAGGCAGATTGGTAATGAAAAGCCCCCAGCCCTCACGGGACTTGGCGGGCCGCTCGCCCATGGCCGCTCGCAAAGGCGGGCCTCTTCTTTGGAGGCGTCAGGCAATGAATCCGTGAACGACCCCATAACTCTTTGCGCCTTGGGCCCCTCTTAATGGTGTCCCATTGGCGCAGAAAAGCAAGATTTAGCAGAACCGCATCGTTCGTGATTTGAAAACTGCTTGGAGGGCCAAAGCCTAGGCTCCAATGATATCATGCCGGTGGGTTTTGCGGCCGTCTTCAATTGCTTCTGCTGGTCACACTGCTTTCGGCCATGGTGAGCAATCAGGCTTGAAAAGGCGGAACCCCCCTCAAACAAGTCTTGACGATTGAGCAATGCAGCAATGGCTGCGGCCTGGTGTTCACTTGCCAATCCTTACATTTTCATGTGGCGAAGACGCGGACATGCTTCACTCAACAGCATGGCCAATAGCAGGGCCTACTTTCCAACCTGCAAAGGCAAGCTTGAGTTCTGTAGCACCTGCCCCCGTACCGTGCCTGCTCTCTCTCTTCCACATATGTGTCGATGTTCCACTGCTTCTCTGCCTGTGCCGACGTCCGGGCGACTCAGGTCACAAGCACCCCGTCATCATGCTTCCAACGTCATCCGCGCAGTCACGATAAAGCAGGCCAGGCACTCCATATGGTAATTGAATTCTGCCAGCCAATGCACGTGGTCGATGATCTCAAGACCTGATCTGCAGCGCGTTCGAGGGCCTTTCATGCATGTCAAATTGAGAACCGGGAAGCCAAGCACAAACCGCGGATTTGAACGGCTTGTTGCCGCCACTGACAATTGGCAACCCTTTTTCTGGCGCCCAATTTGATTTTCTGTCGACCCTTGTTCCAAGAGCTGAAGGGGTTGAGCAGGCTGCTTTGCAATGCGCGCAGGTTGATGCTTGGTCTGAAGTGTCTAAAGTTTAGGGTGGGACTGACGAACGGACCGATCGGGCAATCAGATGCCCGAAAATCGGATTCCAAAAACAACAAGCTCTCCCCATTCAATCATGAGAGCATCAACTACAATTCGAGAACATCCAGCCTGTATTGCCTGCAACGTGCTCAAGGATGGCCTTCTCAACTCCTATCCTCTCTTGGCCGCTGGGCTCCCCGGCGAGCTACGTGTGTCATTTCCTAAGCTTGTCTTCTTTGCATCCCAAGACTTTGACACCGCAAATAAGCACAAACACCATCGGCCACCAGACATGCTATGTACTCTGGCTAATGTCAATGCTTTCATCTGTCCTTTGCTTGTGATGATGCATGGTTCTGGGGGCTCATCTAAACAAAGCACCATCAGTCACTGTCCGTTTCTTGGAGAGCGTCTCTCTCGACAATCACTCGCTTGCATTGCTCTCACACTAACTGTCAACAGTCACAGTCACCACACCTGCGCCTGTACTGCTCAGAAATTAGATTGATACACTCTTCCAAACCATCGTGAACGCCAACGCATTGCTCTGCAACTATTCCATGTGTGGACCCGTGTGTGCGTGCGTGTGTTCCAAACTGTGGTGAGTGCTTGAATGTCCTCGCCCCCCTCTCCCTTGCAAAGGTACCTTCCCACATTGAGACACGGCAGGGGTTAGGCTAACATGAGCACATGGCAAGAACTCAGGGAACATGATCTGGCGCCAAAGGGATATTATATGTTCGTGCGCAGGTCCATTCTTGGCATGCATGTCAGTAGTTTGAGATGGATGTAGTTGTGTGTGTGTGTGTGCACATCTGTTTGCAAATGTGCGCTCTGCGAGCTCTTGCAGCTTTAACGCCATCTTCATTCGATCCCGAATGATTCCGAGTTGTGTGTGTGTGAGTCGCATTGCTTTCACCCATTTCCAGCATTGTGTGCTTGGTGTCGGTGACTCTTACATCTGGGCAGGTTTGGCCAGGCAGCCCCAGATCCCCCCTGCCTCCCTTCGGCTGATTGGCGGTTGATTGGCTTTGGCGGTTGCTCAGCCGACTTGCCACTCCTCTCGTTCTGGGTAGTATTTGTTGTGTACATGTCCATCCTAATAAGTGTGCCTACCCTATTCGTACATAGTTGAGCGCTCGAGCAAAAACGCTCATGCAGCATCTGAGTGGCAATTACGCCTTGCGCCAAGACTTGTGTCGGCGTGGGGGGCAAACAGTCTTTTTCCCAAAGGAGTTCAAGTTTCGATTCGAGGTCCAACCAAGCGGCAGCGAACACACTCACACATATGGTACAATATGTTACTACAATTATTTGTTTTTCATGTGCTACTATAGTAACTGATTTATTCACCTCTCACAAAACAACTATTACGAATAATAGTACCAATGCTAATGCAAATGACAAGCCTGTCTACCTTGGCCCCAGCTTTGGCTCTGCAAACGGCTAATCAAATGCCGCGAGTCGTGATACAGGTGCTCGAAGAAGCCCTGTGTAGGCTTGTACCTGGGAACTAGCGGGCCGGAGCTGCCAAACTGGGCACCTTTAAGAAACAAACATCACCTTGCAAGCAGAAACCTAGAAACCAGCTCCAAGTGATGTTCAGCAAAAACAAAGCTGTATCCTGTGAGGAACTCTGCCAACTACCAGGCCAAACACTCCGCGTTCTGGCATGTGTCATGAGTGGTGCAACATGTGGCACCATAACGGTCATTGCCAACGAGGTCATTCAGATCAAACTCGTGGCGCAAATTGCCGAACCGTCTTCTTGTTAGAGAGGGCTGTCAAGCGCCCGGGCCGATGCTTCTTCAGGCGCTCCATGAACGCCTCCAGGCCACTCTGATTACATCTGATTACAGTATAGAATTCCGCAGCAGCTACCAGGTACCATGACTGAAAGTTGGTAAATCTCCGCAAAACCTTGGTCCACACGTCCGAAGCTGGACAAACAATACTCACAGCTCTCAGCCCTGCTTTCGGCTTCACACCGGATCGTGTAAGCTTCGCACCTGGTGGTCGATGGACTTCCAGCCACCTGGCAAAGAGCGAAAGTGCGGAACAGTCATGACAAGCAAAGCGGCGCGTCGGCGGACGCACGCACCCCCGCGCATGTGCGCACAAACACAGGAGACACACACACACACACGCACATGCAAAAGCAAACGCAGAGCCGACAAAAGGGTTGAAAACAGTCGGAACCATCACTCATGCCTCTCAATTGCAGGCTCTCATGGGTGCCTGTCTGCGACACGCCCTTGCTCTCCTGGCATAGGAGTGGGCATGTGCAAAAAACACCCCGGCGAGGACCAAGGAGAGCTAAAGCTACAGCCCACTCTGCCACATCCAAGGAACCCCTTCAATTACTTTGACTCAATAAATCTAAATGATCCAACTAGAGGACGATTGGCCCGAAAGCATTTTTCCCCAGGTGCTCATCCAGCCGCGGAGACGCCTTTTTACATTGCTGCGGCGAGCGTGTCTGCGCACGGCGATGCTCAGTGTGTATGGTCACATGAGAGCTCCATCTCATCATCCTAGTTTCCTCTCGAACTGCGCCGCGCGATTTCTCACGAAAGTGGTCTGCGCAAGCTGCATTGTTCCAGGCTGCTGCGCGCAAGTTGCTTTCTGCAAGCTGCTGCACGCAAGTGCTCTGTGCAAGTTGCTCTGCGCAAGCAGAGCAAGTGCTCTGAGCAAGTTGCTCTGCGCAAGTGCTCTGTTCCAGTTGCTCCGTGCAAGCGCTTTGCGCATGTGCTCTGTGCAAGTTGGTCTGTGCAACTTGCTCTGCGCCAGTTGCTCCGTGCAAGCGCTTTGCGCATGTGCTCTGTGCAGGTTGCTGTGCGCAAGTGCTCTGAGCAAGTTGCTCTGCGCAAGTGCTCTGCGCCAGTTGCTCCGTGCAAGCGCTTTGCGCATTTGCTCTGTGCAAGTTGGTCTGTGCAAGTTGCTCTGATAAGTGCTTTGTGCAACTGCTCTGTGCAATTCGCAGAGCGCAAGTTGCTCTGCGCAAGTGGCTCTGCGCAAGTTGCTCTGCGCAAGTGCTGCCGGAGCTGTGGGAATGCACTTCGCGTACTATTTGTGTACTTAAAAAAGTTGCGATTTTCCAGCCGGAGCTGCGGGAGCACGCTCCGCATACTACGTCTGTGCTCAAAAGTTGCGATTTTTCAGCCGGAGCTGCGGGAGCACGCTCCGCATACTACGTCTGTACTTAGAAGTTGCGATTTTCCAGCCGGGGCTGCAGGAGCACGCTCCGCCGCGTACTACGTTTGTACTTAAAAGCTGCGATTTTCAAGCCAGAGCTGCCGCGGACCAGGGGGGAATCGAACCCGCGACCGCGGGATTGCGAAAGCAGGCGCGCGAGCCACGAGACAACTTCCAAAGGCCATTTCGCAGAGGGTCGCGCGCGCATGTGAAAAATCGTAAACAGTCCTCAGTTTTTGAACCTCGACCACGCGAATCTCCGCAGAGGGTCGCGCGCGGCTTGCAGAAATCGTAAAAAGTCCTCAGTTTTTGAACCTCGACCACGCGAATCTCCGCAGAGGGTCGCGCGCGCGCATGTTAAAAATCGTAAACAGTCCTCAGTTTTTGAACCTCGACCACGCGAATCTCCGCAGAGGGTCGCGCGCGGCTTGCAGACATCGTAAAAAATCCTCAGTTTTTTTAACATCGACCACGCGGATCTCCGCAGAGGGTCGCAATCCCGAGCGATGATCAAACTCCCGCCCCGGCGCCTTAGAAACCTAAACTAACTTACATAGCTGCTTACGCCGAAGCTCTAGGCAAGCTCTACCTAACCTTGGCTCTGTGCCACTTGGCTCTGTGCCACTTGGCTCTGCGCCACTTGGCTCTGTGCCACTTGGCCCTGTGCCACTTGGCTCTGTGCCACTTGGCTCTGTGCCGCTTGGCTCTGTGCCACTTGGCTCTGTGCCACTTGGCTCTGTGCAACGTGGCTCTGTGCCACTTGGCTCTGTGCCACTTGGCTCTGTGCCACTTGGCTCTGTGTAACTTGGCTCTGTGCCACTTGGCTCTGTGCCACTTGGCTCTGTGCAACTTGACTTGGCTCTGTGTAACTTGGCTCTGTGCCACTTGGCTGTGTAACAAGGCTCTATGTAACTTAGCTCTATGTAACTTGGCTCTATGTAACTTGGCTCTATGTAACTTGGCTCTATGTAACTTGGCTCTATGTAACTTGGCTCTATGTAACTTGGCTCTATGTAACTTGGCTCTATGTAACTTGGCTCTATGTAACTTGGCTCTATGTAACTTGGCTCTATGTAACTTGGCTCTATGTAACTTGGCTCTATGTAACTTGGCTCTATGTAACTTGGCTCTGTGCAACTTGGCTCTGTGCAACTTGGCCCTGTGTAACTTGTCCAAGGGCTCCGCACGGAAGAACCCTTCGCGATGAAATTAAACATTGTGTGAGAATGCAGTCTGCATCAACCAAATATTGCCGGCATTGCCATTGACGCATCATCATGCAATCAGAATGGTTGCCCGAAGCTACTGTGCACAAGGGGTCAGCAAAGGCATGAGACCAAATGGCTGATTGCTTGATCCCTCAAATGTTCACATGATCCTCCGTGTTGCCACATGTGCTGCCAGCCATCTGTGTCACGCAATCCATGCACGATTGATTGAATCATGCCTCCGTAGGTGTTCATGTATACACGAGAGCTTGCTTGTGCAAACGCATGTGGAAACTCCGCCACAAAGTCAGGATTGCCACAGGACAAAACAAGGAGGAACCCAACTGGAATCTCCACCGCCGGAAGAAAGTAGTACCTGGGGGGTTGTTGGATCCTCGCAGAAAGCCATGATGTGCCTCTGGGAAGGTCACCGATGGCTGGCTGTACTCACCAGCGCCAGGAGAAGGCCTCGCTTCGGGCCAAGGAAATTCAATTCCGGTCGCCAAGCTGCCTAAGCCAAAAGAAACCGGATACAACCCCAAAGACACATATCTGGCATCCCATTTCTAAGTGTCAAGAGTCCCGTAGGTGAGGCACTTCTCCTGCCCAGGTATCATTCTTGCACGGGCGCTGACAAATCCGTAGAGGTGGCCTGGCTGGAGAGTATTGTTGGGGCTGGCCTTTCAGCTGGGCTTGGCCCAGAAGGGGGATCAACCTGCAGCACGCTTCCAAAGCGCCACTTGAGGCCTTGTTTCCACTTGTAATGTGTGTGCGCGCGTGCGCATTGTTGATTGATCGCGGTCGTCCTCAGCTTCGTGCGATCTTGTTTTTTGGGTTGGGAGGGGGGGGGGCTGGGTGGTGGCAGCCAAAGGTGTGCTAAGTACCTGGCCTGATGCTGGCCTCCAGGTTGGAGATGTGTCTGTTCGCCGTGCTTAGGACTTTTTTCTTGGTTCCGGCGGAGAAGTGCGCGCCACAAATCCGGAGAAAAGGGCATCGGAACGGGCAGGCTGACTTGGCCGCAAGGGCACGACGCAAGTGAGCGTCGTAGAAACTTCGGCTTAGTCCACCTGTACCCCAACAAACAACACACAGTGCAAGCAACATCATATGCAAACATCTGGGCTTGTGAAGCACAAAGACAGTTGAGCGAGCGCAACTGCAGCAGCAAAAGTGTGTCTCTCTGGTCTAGCAATGGGGATGTTCGCTGGTGACACCCGCGACTTTCTGCACAACCACTCAACAACTCAGACAAGACAGAAAATGGGTTGTTGGACAACCCTTCAAAACGCATGATGCCAGTAAGATCTGGCCATCTTGTCTCGCGCGGATCCCCATTGCTCTAAGCTCATTCGCCCTCTGCCCGTTCGTGCTAAACAAATGTCGCACACAAAGCACAAGTCTTTGCAAGGTTTGCGCGAAACGGACTTTGAGATCTATTGAAATGGGCTCTGCCCAAGTCATTTGCGGTTGAAATGGGCTCTGCCCAAGTCATTTGAGGATATCACCTAATGCGACCAGTGGCGCATTGTGCCCACCACTTGCCTACCACACCCGGTAGGAAAAAAGGCTGTGCCTCTCCCACTGTGCGCCACTTGTGCGCCAATGGGCGCAGGTCAGCGCATGGGGTCCAGCACGAACCTCAAATGGCAGCTTCCAGATTCATCTGGGAGCGTCCTCAATCATGAGCCAGGTGGATCACGCTGGATCCAGGTGGCCCAGCTTAGAATAAGACAGAAACAAATCATCATCTTGCGTCTGTAGGGCCTCTCAAGTCTTTCAAAGGGGTGGCAACTCGGAAACAAACATGGCTCTTTCAGCCAAGCTGCTGGCAGTGCACATCACCGGTGCCACTTAATCCAGGAGTGGTCTGGTTGCTTCTGGCCGCGGATCCATAGATTCATGGCGTACTTGACCTGAGGTCCCATGCGATCAGACCGTTGCGGGCTGTTTGGGAACAGCTTGGCGAGGTCGGGGGCGAGAAAGGGAAGGGCGGGGAGGCTGGGGCAATAGCTTGGCAGCATCGTCTCCAGTGCCGAATCCATGTAATTTTGTCTCGTCACACAAATTGTAGGGCCTGAGGTAAATGAGTCCAACAGCTAGCCCGATAACAGAAATTAAAGACTCGTGGATCAGTGAGCAGGTCATGAGCCAAAGGCACATTTCCCTGCTCGCGCTCTCGGCGGACGTGTAGCTTGATGCGCGAGGAACTGACTCAAGCAAATTACTGAAGCTTCAAACGCTTCTGGTGATGCTGTGCTTTTCGAGCTTGTGCTTGTGAAAGCGACCCTTGTTTCGGTACTGATACTGGTTGGACGTCTGGAAGGTTCTGTCAAAAAAGGTTTGTGATATTTGGTGAGTACGCAGCATGGGAGCAGAGCTTGGAGGAAATTATGCTCTAGACTTTTAGTATGTTTTGCCACTCGAAACTGTTGGCGGTCGGCTCGCAAATGCTTGCTGCCTGCCTGCACGCTAGTTGGCGCGTGCAACGGCAACAGCAAACTAGCACCACGAGCTGCAGCACTCCATTCCTGGAGTGAAGGCTTTTCTTCATTGGCAAATAGGTTTCTCTACATGTGAGTGTCGTGAAGCTCCATGCCCTGCAACGCCTCTTGTTTTGGGGCTCGCGCAGTCGATCCCTTCATCGGCAGGGCGGAGTGCAAAGAGCTCCTCTCCGGATGGCCTGGGACTGAGATGCATCGCGGTTTTTGGCTCGGGGCTGTGCACATTGTGAGCGTATGGATTCGGAACTCCTTCAAAACCAAGTCGAAGTAAACGCCCGAGCATGCCGCTGGTTTGAAGTTCTTCAAGACCAGGATATGAACAAGTGCCCGACATGAAAAGGTGCCCGACTGAATGCACGTGGCACTTCTGACGTCTTGATGAGTGGCCTCCCTCGTCCGAACAAAAAACCTTAGCCTCAAGTGTAAGCCTCGCTGGAAACAACGCCTGTCAGATTGAATCAGCCATGCCAAGAAAGCAAATCCAGTGCCGCCACCAAGCCCACCAACAAGAGAAACACTTTCAACCTGTCAGCAAACGCAAAGCACAGCCAAGCACCTGTTCACGGACATGCAGTTTAAACAATTAAGCTATACTCCTTGTGTGCAGCGATTTGCAAGATCTTTAAAGGACAATTGCCGTCCTGTCCAACTTCCCGCCCGCCCTGTTGTCTTGCCTGCGGGGTTCACGTTGGGCCAAATGACCGCGGAGCCCTTCTGGGGCTTAACCTTGATGCCCAGGGAGTCGAAGCCGGTCTCTCCACCTTCGCCTGTGCCCATGTCCGGCGCGAGAGCAAGCGGCATGGAGCAGTGTAAGTCTTTGATCTCAGGCGATGCCACATTGTACCGAAGCATGGTCTCCTTGAGGACATGGGCTGGTACCCGACCTTCTAGCCCCAACCCCGCGCCCCCCCATGGGCCCAATTTGCGAAACACCAATAGCTAAGACGCACGGCCTGGAGCTATCCAACATCGCGCTTGCGGGTCTTGGCAGCTGAAAGGTGCAAAAATCGCAACGGCGACGCCTTCCGGGATGGTGTTGAGGTAGACCAGCACGGTGGCCTGGCATGCATGTTCAAACGCCCGCGTCTGGCTAAAGGCCGTCAGTAAATCGCACTTCTGCATTCAAATTAAACACTCGCACATGGCTCACAGTAAGCCACAGAATCCGGCAGGTCCATCAATCTCTGTGAGCTTCAGTCGCTCTATTAATTATGCATCTGTGCATGCTGGCATGTGCTGGCATACTTGCGAAATGTCAACTCCTTCTGCGGCAACCGTGGAGCAGTTACCCAAACAGGCCAAAACCAAATGAGGAAAACTCCGACGAACGTGTCGGGAGTGCCATTCGCTGGCCGAAAAGCCAGAGGCCGGGATGCTTCTCACCGCACCAGTCCATGTGCGCTCCTCAGGGCGTAGCCAAACGTGGTCAGTCGAGGTCAATGCGGACTTTGGTTTTCGCACACCCAGCATGGAGGCCACCTTTGTGTCTAAAATAGTGGCTACCAGGGTGCACAAAAACAGAAGACACACTTTCTGCCGGCAAGGTAGGCCATGCGCCACAAAAAACGGTATGCCAGACTTCACATTACACTGATTTCAGACTGGCTCGGAAACGTGGCATGTGCTAGAAACCGCAACCAACAAAAACCATCCGAGGCGGATGGTAGGATGCGTAGGTGGTGGCCACCTATCAAGTCTTTAAGTATTACAATCGGTTCTGCTGCCTCCCCATCTGGATGCGTCAGGCTTTGTTGCCGGCTTGTCATAGTCTGATTTATTTGGGAAGTCTTGACAAGCTCTGAGCTGGCTGCGGTTCACTTTGCCACGGCATTGTAGTAAAAGGAACCCATCTAACGTTTGGAGTGACACTGAATAAAGAGCCAAACGCCAAACAAATGCCCGCCTGTCTCGGGCCGCTGGCAGGGGCATCAGGGTCACAGTTTGTCACAGCTGTCGTCATATGACTTCACACCCTATCCACCCCATGGCAAAGGAAAGCTTGTAGGCCAAAAACTGGGGGACAACGCACGCTTGTCGGATATCACTGAATACCCTATCCCCATTGCGAAGGAAAGCTTTCAAGCCCAGGCTCCGTATTTCTGGCCCTCGGCGTACCTCACCAGCTGCAGGGGCTCGATAAAGTTCTCCGGCACTCCCAGGGTGTGCGAGGCCCAGGCGCGCACAGCTTTCACCTCGGACTGGTGGCGAGTGGCGAGGGCTGCGCCATGATGGGTACTGCTGAGGCACCTTTGCTTTCAAGCCTGGGCATGATAGAGTAGAGCGATTTAGGAGTGCAAGGGCTACCTATTGTGGATTTGTTTCCCGCTTGTTGTTGTGATACTCACTCTGTTCGCTCAGCTTGACCTTTGCTGGCTCGTATTACGTCTTGGCTTTTCTGGTTCTCAAGAATGCGTGAACGGGAAGAACACCCTTCAAGGCAAAGGTTTCTATCATTACCAATATCAATATTTTCTTATTAGTTATTACTAATGTATGTTCACGTCATTGGCATTTGTCCCCCTTCACATTAACAAAGAACCCGCCGTGCGGAGCAAATTGTGCACATTCTGTGAGACAAGGGCTTGTAACAGCTTGTAAGCTCCAAAGCAGCGTCTAGGTTTGACGCTGTAGGAGACATCAGCCCAAAGCTGGACCACCGCGCCCCAATTGTTCTGTTGGTTCAGGGTTGGATTGTTGGATTGGCTGTAAGGGTTGGTTTAGGGTCGCATTTTGTCGAGTCTTGTTGCTTTGAGTGGAGTTGTAGGGTTGGCTTAGGACCATGGTGGATGGGTCAAGGAAAAAACCTTAAAAAAAGTGATGTCAACTATTTAACCCGGAGGGACATGATCTATTTGAGAGGTCGCCCCGGATTTAAGGTACCCCGGAATAATCCCGAGGTCCTTCCAAGCCAGCCCTCCATTTCCTCCACGGTGCCGAAGGGTGCGCTTCGTGCCAGGCCAGGAGCGC